TCTGATAACATACACCTTCCCATTTCAAAGAGCGTTCTCCACTGTCTCTCTGCTTTTCCGTTTTGGTGTGGTGAATATGGTGACGACGTTTCATGTCTAATGCCTTTATCTCTGAGTAGTGTTTGAAAATCATTACATGTGTACTCGGTACCATTGTCTGACCTAAGACATTTAACATTACCATAGGGTGCACAGTCTGCCAGAAACTGCTTTGTTGCCTTAGTCACATCACTTTTGTTTTTCAGAAAATAGACTGCAATAGATCCTGAGAAGTCATCAGTAAAGGAAATCGCATATCTGTGTCCTTCTAAGCCTGTAGGGTCAATGGGTCCTGATAGATCAGTATGAACCAACTCTAGTGGCTTGCTCGTTTTAACATCTGACTCTTTGTTTCTGCTGTTGATAAATTTCCCTACTGTACAGATGTTACACTCCATTTTACTGTTGTCAGTGACTTTCATTCCCTCCACCACATTTTGTAATTTCATAACATCAGCCATGTTACAATGTCCTAATATTTCATGCCATGTTTTCAGATCACAAGCTAGCTTCACTTTATCTCTGCTCATCATGTCATTTAAGTTTTCCTCAATGCATCCTTCATTATTGCTTTTCATTCTGAGGTAATACAGTTTCTCATGTGCCTCAATAGGGAACACAGTACCATCTTTACTCAGCAGTTCATTCTGCCCATCTGTGAATTTTACACTGGCTCCATTGGCTGTAGCTGATATCACAGAAAATATGCTCTGTGGGTAGGATGGGATGAATAAAGCATTTTTCAGAGCAACTTTAACATACCTCCCCTTTGAGTTCAACAGTTCAATCTGTGCATCACCACGCTTCAGTGCAACATTGTTCATCTTCTTTCCATCTGCCAGTTCCATGTAGTGTCTACTTGGGTCAAAAGTCTTATCAATTCTTGTGAACAGCTCTTCATCAGTGATAATGTGTGATGTGGCTCCACAGTCCACCATTATTCCATTAAGCCTGATGTTGTCAGACGGAAGATTCTGGCTGACTTTGAATACCATGGTCTGGTCCTCCTCATGATTGTCCTGCATGTCTGAAGTCTGCTTGGCATCATCTTTCCGTTTCGATCTTCTTCTGCATGTCTCGTCACTGTGGGTTGTACTTCTGTGGTAGCTGCACCATTTTGGCGCGGTCTTTTGGTGGCAGTCTCTCGCCATGTGCCCGCGCTGTCCACAGTTGTAGCAGTTTATTGTTGTCATGTCCACTTTCATTACATTATCTGACTTCGGTTTGCTTTCAAACTTTTCTGTCTCTTCATAGCTTCGAAGTCTGCTCTTAAACTGAGTGAACATCAAATCTTCACTGCTCTGTGTTGTGTGAATAGTAAAAGGCTTGTATGATTCTGGGAGTCCCTTCAGAATCATTGCTATTATTAGTCCGTCACTAATAACCTCTTTTGCATTTCTCAGAGACGTTATCGCTTTTTCAGCACGTAAAACATAATCTGTCACTGTTTCGCCGGGTTCCTTTAGTAGGGACGTGAGCTCTGTGTAAAGGGCGATGATCCTGGGCTTACCCTGGCTGGCGTAATGCCCGCGTAGTATCTGCAGAGCTTTCTTCCCATCGTCGGCGGCATCTCTCATCACCAACGACAGGCTCTTATCATCGAGGACCTGGATTAGTTCCACGTAACATTCCGCGTTTTTCTCTTCGTCTGGCTCCGCCGTAGATAGGATGGTGTCTTTTAGGCCTAGCGTTCTTAAGTAAGCGAGGAATTTTACCTCCCAAAGTTCGTAGTTGTTTTCGTCTCCGTTGAAAACTAGTCTGTCCCATCGTCCTCCCGTGCGGTGCCTGGGCCCATAACCTGTTGCGTTTTCTTGTTCAGTACTCATGTTTGACAATAAACCACACTTCTTTTGTTGGATAGCTGTGTTCACTTTATTGCTAGCGTTCCAGTTATCAACGTCTTCACTTCTTCTATTTTATTAGAACAATGCAGCCTTCACACAAACTTGCTCTCACTGCCCCCAGTGGACAACAGCAGTACAACATGCACATAAACAGAAAGTGACAGGATGCAGAACTTACAACTGTACCTTTCAATGTAAATTAGAATGCATGACCACATAACACAAAATAACTCAAAGACAAGTTAAGATGAGAACATATTCTAACATGCCTTTTTAATTTAAATCCCTTTATTGTCCCACAATTGGGAAATTCCATCTCTGCATTTAACCCATCCCCTTGGGGAGCAGTGGGCTGCCATTGTGTGGCGCCCAGTTAGCAGTGTGGGGTTAAGGGTCTTGCTCAGGAACCCAGAGTGGAGGCTGTTGGGTTTGAACCCATTACTTTAGATTACATTAGAGCACAAGTGCACATGTACAGGCTTTTCCTTCCCCGTCTGATGCTAGTAAGGTACATTTATCATCCAGACCATGTTAAATCCAAGAGGTTAGATGAAGGACGACATACTTTTTATCAATGATTGAACCTCAGATCTTTTTGTTTTTAACCTTTTTTGGAGTTTCTTATCTCATGTAGTTTTAATTCATTTGTATAAAACATGTTTTTAAGCTGCTTCCAACAAAAACAAGATACAAGGGATTAGTGTTGCACCAGTACCGATACCAGTATCGGACAGGGCCCTGATACTGCACTAAAATGGTGCTATCGGTATTCAACTATTGTCACCCATTCGAGATAGGCAAAAAGAAGTTCTGGATTAACTTTGTATTAGTCTTTTTCCTGCTTTACAAAGGCAGGCGGCAGCTTGACAAAGCCATGATGACAATTAATTTAAATCCAAGTAGTATGCAGTTCTTCATATATACACCACACTTCAATTTCAAACAGATGGTATCGGTATGGTATCCGTATCGGCCGATACTGGACAGCCAGGTATTGGGTATCGTATCGGGGCCAAAAAATGGCATTGGGGCAACACTACATGGAATGTTGGAATAGGTTTAAAAGCTTTTTTTTTTTTTTTCTTTGGGTGCTAAAGGCAGATAGGAGGGTGGAAATGCCTGAGGGATGTATCACTTCCTCACACAAATCCTTTGGACAGGGCAGGGCTGTCAGTGTGTTTGATAGCAGTCCAGACAGGGTATAGGAAAAATGTGTATTCAATAATCCTGCCAGAGACTGGACACATCTTGCTTCAATGTGGTATTTTCTCAGAGCATGCCAGCTAAACACACATTTTTATAAGGTGCTTGATATAATACATTCTAAATAAAGCAGAATTTTTGAGTTGTGTTTGTTGCTTTTTTTTTTTAGGGAGTTCTTTGAGATGAGGTCGGCATTATAGATTTAAAAATCAACAGGTGGTTTCACTTTATAATAATCCTCCGTGGCCTTGTGTGTTTATGTGTGTTGCTTTTGCACGCCGTATTAACCCGACCTTTTTAAAAAGCTGACGACCCAGAATTTTTCCACATCTTTCTTTGTTTTTCATATCAACATTACTGCCTGTTTCGTATTTCCTCCCGCATCCATTTTGTCAGCTTTTGCAGGGCCGGGACATCATCCATGGATCGTATATTCTTATTTCAAGTCTTTTAGTATTTACACTCATTGTCCCCATTTTTTAGATCTTCTTGTTTAGATTTGATTCCCATTAAGTTTGATGCTGATGATTGATATTCCACTTGCATGCCCAAATGGAAAAGCAAATAACTAAGGAACTGTAAGCCTAAATTACATGAGTGATACATCATTTGAAAGCTAACACCTTCTAGTTTTGGAAAATATAAATGCAAATAATGTGACTAAAGTAAAGCCTAAACTGCATCAGTTAAACATAAATAATGATTGAAAATGATTCTAAGCCTTGTTTGAATAGCAATAACAAATAAATGCTTCACAATAGGTGTGTGGCATAGTATTACATTAATTCTGCATCATGTCAACCACAACTGCAGAAAATTTCAGACCTCCAGGTATTATAGTTTCAGAGCTACGGGACTTTTAACTTCTGCTTTCACCAGCGTCTACTAACCTCTCCAGATGTCCATAAAATGAACTAAGCTTTCTAAGGACATGTCACTATTGGTAAAAGTTTGACCGGTATTATTTTCAAACGTACTGCTGTGTTTAATGTAAATATACATTAAACTGGTGGATGGTAAGACTTTTAGTGTTATTTTAAGCAGAGTTTAATTAAAAGTATGCAGAGTTCTACTAATAACTTGCACAAGACTTTTTCTTTAAATTTCAGATTTCTTTTTTTAAAGCTTTTTTTTAACATTATTATGTTATAGTCATCTTTATATCTAAATTTCAGTAAATATTAGACTCCTCCCTGTTTATATATCACCTAATATATTTTACTCCGATATAAAATTTTTATCAATTTAATATTCTACTTCACAGAATTAATCTTTTCAGTGTCACAGAAAGTCAACCTCAGTATTTTAATTTAAAATCTGATTAATCAATGTTTTTTCCCATTTGTATTGAATCAGCTGCGCCCTCAGTCTGTGCCAGAGAGGCGACCATGCAGGTCTAACTCCTCCCTGACCCTTCCATCCTGACCAACCGACGCCAAAATAAACCTGGAAACTCTTACATCACATGCTCCCTCTCTGCTATCTCCGGCTTGATTTAATCTTCCAGCTGTTATCATGCTGTGGGAAATTTGGCTACAACTTTTTTATGTTTTATGTGTTCTGACATGACCCAGGTTATTGTCTATCTGAGCTCTTTCCATACTCTGTTTTTCAATGACTTGAAAGGAAGATGAAACGAATCACATGGTTATGTTGCGTTCACAATCGAATCCAAAGCGATAGGTTTTGATTTTTCTCAGAGATCTGTTGTGAAATATAACCATTGACACTTCTGCTGAAACACATCTGAGTGTAATAATATGATGTTCAAATAAAGCTGGCCGAGTTTATGCCTGGAAGAAATCAGTTTGCATTACATTTCCATGAACTGGGATTTATTCATTTATTTTTATTTTAACTGTGTCCTTTCTTTGCGATTTGCCCTGATTTTCCCCTGTTTGTGTTTGTCCCCAGCAACATGGCCAACGCCCTGGCCAACGCCATGTGTGAGCGCTGCAAGAGCCGCTTCGCCCCGGCGGAAAAGATAGTGAACAGCAACGGGGAGCTTTACCACGAGCAGTGCTTCGTCTGTGCGCAGTGTTTCCAGCAGTTCCCAGAGGGGCTCTTCTATGAGGTAAGTCTCTGTGCCTTAAAGACACATTTAGTTATTTTTTTGCTGAAAAACATCTTTACAATAGCCTTTTTATTTGACCCTTTACGACTAAAGCATTGTTTCATGAGTGTTGATGTCGGACACAGATGTTGCACGAAACGTTCTGCTGCAAATATGAACCAATATTTGGTTTTCACTTTACAGACTGTAAATAAAGACACAGTTTTCCATCTCAAATTAAAACCAAGCTGATAACAACCTTTAAATGGTATTTTATCATTAGAAGCCTTTTCCATTTAATGGTCCCTACATAGATTGTGAAACAGGCCCGGACGTTTCCCACATTCCCTAAAGCGTCCAAGGCCTCAGCTGTTTACCACACATCCTGATGCCTCTTATCGGCAGACACCAAACACAGAGAGATCAATATTTAACTCCTTTATTATTCAGAATGCTATAATTACACTGTAAGCTGAAAATAACCCAGCATTAATGTGTTTGAACAATGGCAGGATGCAGTTGATTTAATGATGTAGTAGGAAAAAAAGTCCAAAAGGACAGAAATAGTTTCTCTCTTTTTTTCCAGATATATTTATATATTTGCCTGTTAGTTTCAGTGATAAAATCAGCCTCACATTTTGTACTTTTATGTCTTTTTATATCTGTGTGGACTAATACATACACACGGGGAAAGGTCATGGTACCCCTCATTTAACGAAAGAAAAATCTGCAATGGTCACAGATGTAACTTTAATCTGATAAATTAAAATTCTTTGAATTTAAACAAATGAAAGTCTGACATGTCCTTTCAAATATGCTTTAATAGAATAATTTAAAAAATAAAGTTGTGAAACAGGCTGAGACAAAAATGGTGGTACCATTTACTTGGATGTTTTGTTGCACAACCTTTAGAGGCAAACATTGCAATCAAAAGATTCCTGAAGACTTCTGCTTCTCTCAGCAGGTATTTTGTCCCACATCTTAGGTGTTTTTAGCTGTTTTTTTCTGTCATTATCCAATCACTTGCAACTGTTACCAAGCTTTCTGACACTGGGCTGGACATTTCTCTCTAGAATTCTTTGATAGTCTTTAGATTTCATTCCATCCTTCAGAGACACCCGGTGCCAGATGAAGCAAAGCAGCCCCAGAACATATCAGAGTTTCCTCTGTGTTTCATACTTCCAAATCTGCTTCATTTTTCCATCTCTGTAAACAAAGAGCTTATGTCTGGGCAAAATAATTCAAATTTTGTCTCATCTGTCCATAGGACATTCTCCCAGAACGCTTGTTAACATGTAGTTTGGCAAGATTCCAGTCTGGCTTCTTCATCGTTTGTTTTCAGCATTGGTGCTCTCCTTGCTTGTCTCCCATTATGTCCACTTTGGATCAAACAACAACAAATGATGCGCTCTGACACTGATGTTTCTTGACCTTGAAGTTCACCTTTAATCTCTTTAGAAGTTTTTCTGGGCTCTTTTGGTACCATTCATATTATCCATCTCTGGTTTGTCATCAATTTTCCTCCTGTGGCCACAACCAGGGAGGTTGACTATAGTCCTATGGAACTTAAATATCTGAATAATATGTCCAACTGTAGTCATAGTAACATCAAGCTGTTTGGACTTGGTCTTATGGCCTTTACCTTTGCCATGCTTGTGTATATTTTGAATCTCCTGATACAACGCTTTCCTTCGCTTCCTCTGGTCCGTGTTGAGTGTGGTACACACCATGTCACCAAACAGCATATATATCTATATATAGGCCCACTGACTGAGTTCAAGATTGTAGACAGCTGTGATTCTCATTGTTTGAGTGATTGATTCCAGTTTAAAATTACACCCATCATCCAAAACATCATGACCACTTTACATGGTGTATTGATAACCATTTTGATTCTAAAACATCCCAGACCTGTGGAGTCATGGACTCCAACAGACGGACAACGCATTTGGTGGCAGACGCTTCACATTTAGCAGAATTGGGGGTCTTTATGATTAATCTTATTTCTGCAGCAGATAGAGATGATAAACCAAGAGATTTTAAACCTGAGTCTAATTTTAAACTAAGTTTGCTCCTCAAACCCCTATCTCATTGCCTTTGTGACTTTGGTAAAACTGGGTTTAAGTTTAAGTAGTTTCTCTAGACAAACTTGATCTTGAATTGTGGGATTCCTTTTGATGATCAGATGGTCAGATTAAAAGTTAATTTCAAATGTAACATAATTAATTTGAGTTAATAGAATAAATTAACTTAATAGTTTACTTTATTGAATGGATCATCACATCTGTGCTGGGCTCAGCTATCAATTGATTTTAGTAAACAGATAGTCTAGTAATTATTTCTTGAAATACTGTATATAAATTTAAAATGTACTATAAATGTTAAAATAAATATCAGTAAACAAGTTTTTTGACTCATATTGTAAACTTTAAATACATTGCAAATAGTGCTTAAACATGTTAGAATTACTATTTTAAAATGACGGTGTGACCAGAAATGAATGGATAGAACATATTTACAGACAATACCTTTTTTTATTGTAACTGCAAAATATATATATAATTTAACAGTTTTAGTTTAATTACTGCTTTGAGTTGGTTCTTTCAGTGGTTTGAATACTTCCGCCTGTTTGTAATGAAACTATATAATGTGTTTAGTTTAAATTTAATTACCAGAATAAGAAGAAAAATCTGAATATTTTCAACTTTATTGAATAATCCAAATAATCTAATGTGAAAATATCATGTAACTCTGTTTGTTGCTTGTCTGTGAAGGGAGTTAGAAGGGGAACAATCTTCAAGTGAAACAATCTGTTTGTTTTGACAGTTTGAAGGCAGGAAGTACTGCGAACATGACTTCCAGATGCTGTTCGCTCCCTGCTGCCATCAGTGTGGTGAGTTTATCTTTCTTCTTTAGCCAGTAAGAGCCAAGTGAGAGTGTATGCTGAATTCTTACTGCTCAAAACCCAAATTAATTTGTAGGCATTTGCTCATGATCCAATTTCTGGAAACCTTTATTCTCCCCTCAGGTGAGTTCATCATTGGCCGCGTGATCAAGGCGATGAACAACAGCTGGCACCCCGAGTGTTTCTGCTGTGTCCTCTGCCAGGCTGTACTAGCAGATGTTGGATTTGTTAAAAATGCTGGACGGTGAGTGCTGGTTCTGTCATTAGCTATCAGAATCATGTTAGGTTGAGCAATGGAATAATTCCCTGTGTGTGAAAACCTTGTAGAAAAATACAACTTACGCAAAAATTATTCCTCCTTCTTCATAAACCCTTATTATGTCTTTCGTCACAAATTTCAGGACCAATATTAGCGTTTGTATTTCTTTTGTACCCGGCACCAGCCAACAGTATTCAGGTAGTATTCTGCGAAAAGTCCACACATGCAATAAATACTCCTATGAGCAGCTTTACTTCATACAAACGCTCATTAAAGGTCTAGTGGAGGATTTTCGCGAATTTTTAAATAGACCCGCCCTCTCCACTTTAATAAAAAAAAATGCACATGTAAAACCCTGTACCCACTCCCGAGAGGGAACATTAAACACCTATTAAACATGTGCGAGAGCATGCATGAGCTCATTTCTCCTCGTGCACGCACTGTTTAAAATTTGCTCTATGCATCACTCTTACTAGCTTTCTTTCCAAAAGAAGATTTGCAATTTTTCCACTATGTCAAACTCACCACCGGTAAGTAAAAATGGGGACGAGCATGTAGGACCACCTTACGTAAACATATCACCAGAATTATTGACAATTAGGAGGTCCACTTATTTTGATGATCCACCTGGATAAAGAACATCCTCCTTATATACCTTTAAGTCTTCCTCATGCCTCCCTCCTCTCCGCGTTTCTGTCTACTCCTGTCAATTTTTTTCGCTTTGAAGGTGTTACCCACTAGACAAAGCAACCTGCCTGTGATTGGCTGCTTTTCAGGAAATCCCGCCCCTTAAGACTGTACTCTTCTTACTAGCATATGCTGGTGAATATTCTCAGTCATTTTTTTGAATTACTTCTAGCAAAGCAACTTCAGGTTAGCCGCTTCTCTTCAAGAGTTGGAAGTTGGTAAGCAAAGTCATCATTGGATATACCATGGTCTGGATGAATACTGGATTCTGACTGGTATAGGGAGTCTGTTAAACAGGGTTAAAGGCCATCAACAAAAAGAAGTTAGGGTTATTTAGTAGTGTTGCACCGATATCAGTATCGGACGGGGTCCCGATTCAGCACTAAAATGGTGTTATCGGTATTGGCGAGTACCAACAAATAGGGCACTGATACCATTTGAAGAGCCAAATGTTTATTCAGCTATTGTCACCTATTCCAAGTAGGAAATAAAAAGTTATATTGGATTCACTTTGTATTAGTCTTTTTCCTGCTTCACAAAGGTAGGCAGCAGCTTGACAAAGCCATGATGGCAATTATTTTACATCCAAGTAGCATGTAGTTCTTCATATATAGACATACATAACATTAGAATCTCTTATTGATTTGCTTTATTTGCTGTTCAGCTCTTTATAGACTAACCAAAGAGCATTTTAAGATAATATTGGCTGGTTAATTGACCAACTTCTCCGCTCAAGCAGAGATTTCAGTCAGCAGATGTGATCAAAGCAAAATTGCAGTCTTGTTCATTTCATAAGAGACAGAGTTTATAATCCAATTCCGTTTCCTCTCTCCCATCAGGCACTTGTGTCGTCCCTGTCACAACAAGGAGAAAGCCCGCGGACTGGGAAAATACGTCTGTCAGAAGTGTCATGCCATCATCGAAGACCAGCCGCTTCTGTTCAAGAACGATCCCTATCACCCGGATCACTTCAACTGTAACAACTGCGGGTAAACACACAGCCACAAAAAAACCTGCATAACATTCAGAGCAAAAATAAGTGAGACTGAAGACGCCAATGAGGATAAATGTGACCGAGATTATCATTTCTACTCCATGCTTGCATTTTAGTCATTTATTTAGATATTACTGGGATATGGACAAAGAGTTTGGCATTTCCATTTTAAATATTCACATTGTTTTCCTAAAAACATGCAAAAATATGCAAAAAGGAGACCTATAGCCCAGTAATGCCATCTAGTGGATAAATTGGGGAACTGTTCATGTAGATATAAAGCTGAGAAAATACCAGCTAATAGTTATAAAGCTTTAGAAATATTTTAACATTCTACTTTTTGGGAAAGGAAGGTTACTCTTCTTTAAAACCCATATATCTGCATGCTTGAAAACATATTACATCTTTATGTCAGTGCAGCTGTTCCAAATGGCCGCCTGTTTTCACTCACCTGCTAAATCTCTGCAGTAAGGAGCTGACAGCTGATGCCAGGGAGCTGAAAGGGGAGCTCTACTGTTTACCCTGCCATGACAAGATGGGGGTCCCAATCTGCGGTGCCTGCAGGAGACCCATCGAGGGCCGTGTGGTCAACGCCATGGGAAAACAGTGGCACGTTGAGGTGCGACTTCTACCCTAATGAGTCAGCTTAAATTCATCAATCACAGGAATCTTTTGGTAAAGCTGCAGATGCCATATTTTATTTCCCAAACACTGCTATATATGTCAGGAGATTTAACCATGTGACCTGATTAATGAATCAAAATCATTCTTGTTTTCCTGACTTTGTAATTCAGTCAGTTTCTTTCTTTCGCTTCAATGTTTAGCACCATGTGTGTACTGTATGTGAGCGGCCGTTTCAGGGCCACCCATATTACGAACGAGGCGGCCGTGCCTATTGTGAGAGGCACTTTGACATGGTGAGGGGGGGGTTATGGATCAGTGTGTGTGATGGGTGCTGCCCTGATCCCTGCCTGACTGAAACTGACCAGCATCCATACAGGGAATACTACCGTTTAAAGTAAACCTGCAGCCTGATGTTTCTGATGTATCTAAAAAAAAAAAACAGTTTATACCAAACTACTGTTCATAGAGCTGATTTTAAAAACCACTATTTGTTCATTAACCCTTAAATACTTTTTACAGTATCGAATTTTTATTTATTATCACAATATTTTTTATTTTATTGTTAAAAACTCTCATCTTTCAATTAGTCATCAGAAAAAGAAAAAATTAAAATGTCGTTGATTTTCCGATTTTTCTATGATTTGCAGTTTATATTGTAATATAATTTTATATATGTTAAAATCTGTCCCTATTTGGCGATCCTGTCCAGTGTCTCTAGTCCCTGTTTGGATGCATCTAATGAAAAAGGGCTGATCTGTTTGGTGTTTTGCCCTCATAATGTCTTGTATAAAGCAGAGCACTGTTGAGTATGATGATGATGATGTTACTGACTGACTCCGTGTGCTAACAGTGTGTGCTTTGGGCCTTGGGTTGTGCTTGCAGCATTTTGTGTGTGCTAAGTGTGAGAAACCCTTCCTGGGACACCGCCACTATGAGCGCAAGGGCCTGGCTTACTGTGAGACGCACTACAACCAGGTAACACTGAAGGCACAGTCTGTTTCGCTCATATATGGTTTTCGCGGGTCTATGTGAGGATAATTGCTTTCCTACAAAGTGTAGATAAGCCTTTAGATTTAAATGTTTTTCCAATGTTTATAAGTGGTATAAGGTTGTATCAGCAGATTTTATTTTCTGTCCGCTTCCCCTAGTGATTACTTCATTAATTTGTTTATCTTTCCATCTCTTTGTCCAACCGTCATCCAACCGGTTGCTCAACCTTCCATCTGTGCCCCCTAGATCCCCTTTTCCCTCCCTTTCTTGACTTGTGTTCCCCTTTGGGGCATTTTGTCTTACTCATCAGTACTGTTCTCAGTCAGACGTATTGATGATTGTCCAAAAGTGGAACATACAATAAAAGAAATAAAGACTATTTTATTTAATCTTTTGTTTTTAACATTTAATTTTTATAGTTTTTTGCTTTACATCCCAAATAAAAAAATAACATAAGTACCGGTATGTTGCCTGGAAGTTTGTAAGGAATCAAAATAAATAGAAAATAAAATCTTATTATGAACACCATAAAAATTACTCTTTTCAGATAAATTTTTGCCATAACTCCGAAAGAGTGAACTTTTAAACACTTAACAGATTACAATATCAAGGCTCCTTACCAAACCGATTTCAACTCTGAATATTTTCACCAACACTGCCATACATAATGAGGCATTTTACACTCACTGTTGTTGGAATGACTCTTATAGGGTTGACAGATTCTGACACTAACAATTTGACTCTCTGAATTTTACTGTGAAGGGCAGTCTAGTCATCCATCAGTGTCTTTATCCCATCTTGTGTCCTGTCCCATATCTAAAACCTAACCAGACTTAATATCTCAGATGGAAAATGTCAAGTCTCACAGTGAGGGAGGTCTTAAATCAGAAAACCAGAATAATACCTATATGAATATAGATGGGCTTTAGTCCCGGCCCCATAATTTATAGTAAAATAACACTACATGTGTTTCATCAGTCATTCAAGGCAAGTTTATTTATATAGCACAATTCAGAACAAAGACAATTTAAAATGCTTTACATGAATTGAACAATAAAATAGAAGAAAATTATATGCAGAATAAAAGCAAGTAAAGAAAAGAACATGATAAACCAAAGAAAACATTTGTCAAAGGCAAGGCAAGGCAAATTTATTTGTATAGCACAATTCAGTACAAAGACAATGCAAAGTGCTTTACGTGATTAAAATATAGGAAAATAAAACATAACCAAAGCAGGTAGGGGAAAAATGAATAAATAAAATAAAATAAAAAATGCTGAAACAAAAAAGAACATTAAAAACAGTTGGACTAAAGAAAATAAAAAAAAGTTGAACTAATGATGTTTCAGTTTAACTGTTTAACAGTTGAAGGCAATCCTAAACAAATGTGTTTTTAGTCTTGATTTAAAGGAACTCAGGCTTTCCGCACTTTTACAGTTTTCTGGAAATTTGTTCCAGATAAGTGAAGCATAGGAACTAAATGCTGCTTCTCCATGTTTAGTTCTAGTTCTAGGTAGAGCAGGCTTAAAGCTTCACTATTGATGTTCAGTGTTCTGTGCTTTCAGCTATCAAACTTTAATGACAGTGACTTTTATTTTATCCCAGTCAAAGTTTCTCTGACTCAGCCTCAATTGGCTAAAGAAATCTATAAGACAGTGTCAGTGACAGTTATTGAGAGCTTATTTTGATACTAAAAGACACCATTTAGATTAGCAGCGCTTATTAAAACTGATGTTTAAGAGTCTATGCAGACGGATAGGCTTTTAATCCTGCAGCTTGATTGTTTCCAAGTTTTTTTTTTTTTTTGTGACTTTCTAACAACAGCATGTTGCCTTAACCGCGACAATGTAAAAAAAAATATTTAGCATCATTGCTAATGTAATGTTTCTCTGCCCCAGCTGTTTGGAGATGTTTGCTACCACTGCAATCGTGTTATCGAAGGCGATGGTGAGGAAGTTTGCTTACATAACATTTTAAAATAGTGCAGCACTTTTATCCATTTATCATGGATTAAACTATAAGGGTTTGACCAGTGAGTCTGAATTATGTTTTTATAACCTGCTATATTTGGCTGTTTTCAGTTGTTTCCGCCCTCAATAAGGCCTGGTGCGTCAACTGCTTTGCCTGCTCCACCTGCAACACCAAGCTCACCCTCAAGTAAGTAACAGCCTTATATGTTAAAGACTTAACCTTTTTAGACTTGTAGACCCCTTTGGGCATTTTATATGACCATCAGTACCCCCATCAGTCCAAAGTATTAATGATTGTCCAAAAGTGGAACGTAAAATAACTGATTAAAAAAACAAAAAAAAAGTTGTCCTTTTAATTTGAGCATTTAATTCTTAGGCATTTTATGTTTGCATCTCAAATAAAACAAACATAAATATGTTGCCTGGAAGTTAGTGAGGAATCGAAATAAATACAAAATAAAATCAGAATATAAACCTGTATTTATAAAACTGGAGCTCTTCTGAGTAACTCCATTATAGTCACATTTAAACTCGATTAATTGGGAACAAAATGCAGAAAAAAAATTATTATCAGACTCACTTAATAATTAGTTTTACTTAGTTTTCATCAAGACACCTGAGCTTTTTTGGTGAGCTTTGATAGCTCAGTGTGAAAACAGCTGGTATCAGGCTGCTCTTTACTTCCAGTCTGTTCCTCTGCTTGGTTTTTATGTGTGTAAAAGCTGAAGGTGAACTCAGACATATAAGAGATCTTTTTTGCTTTGGTTCCTCACAAAGCAAAACTGATCCCAGCCCTATTTAATTTTACTACCTAACAAACCAAATATTTTCATGTACCCCTTGCAATACACTTGGGGACCACTAGGGGTACTCGTACCCCCAGTTGGGAATCACTGATGTAGACAAAAGCTCTGTTCTGTGACTCTTTCTGGGGAGGTTTTTAAAGCTTTTCAGCTTTCAGCTCACAGTAGGAGCAGATCGGTGGCCGATACAGATGGACATTTCTTCCCAGCTTGAACAATAGAATTAAGCCAATTCTGAAAGAAATTGAAATTGCTATCAAAGTTGTGCACAAGGTGATTCATTTAGAGCATATTTCTTTGTTTCACTCATTATGGCTTGCTTATAAGATAAGATTTCACCTTAACAGAAAACAAATATATAACTTGGGACTAATAAAGAGTCAGAATTTGTAAAAAATGTGTTTATGTACTGTGAAAATATTCATTTAATCATTAATCAGAGCTTCTTTGCATTGCGTAACAATGGATTATGACTTGGAGCCAATCAGCCTTGTAAAAGAAACTATTTTAATTTTTTTTTTGTTTTTTTTATATGTTTGTTGGATTAGATGTCCTATATATTTGTATTTTACCTCATTTGCTCTTTAAGTTTCAGTACAGGTGGGTTCACTGGTTTTTAAACCAGGGGTTCTGTACTTTTGGCAGAGTGGACAGGTACACTAGTCAATCTCTGCTTCACAAAACTTTGTATATGTTGTTTTTAAAAATAGATTTTCTAGATTTTATTTTGATTTAGGTTTTATTTATTTAAACATGTACAGAATACAAATAAATATAACAGTTATAACTTATCACATTTCAAAGATAAGGGAATGGGAAGATGTGTAAACTTTTGTGAACTTTCCTTCCATTTAACTTTACATTAACTTACTTGGATACAACCCAAAAAAAACCTTGCTTAGTAATGATCTTTAGTAGTCTTTCTTATGATTTTATAGACCATAACATTTCTCTTTTTAAAATAGATGTTACTTTTTCTTAAATAACAATTATATTTTCTAAGAAGTAAAATTTCATGTTTTCTCTATTTGTAAGCTAAGATCATCAAAATAAACAGGAATAAGGTGTTTTGATTGGTAAATAGGCTGTATAATTGAATGGACTTTCTTAATTTTTAAGACTTTTCCTCTAAACTACTGAGATTCTCCTTTAATTACATCAAATTTATTACTATGGTTTGGATTTCTTACAACAAATAGTAGAAATGCTGTTAAGCTTGCATTTCCTTTATTAATTTGAGCCTTTAGCCTCGTCTTTTAAACCCTACACTTCCTGTCTCTAATGCCGCTCTGATGTTTCAGCCTGTCCTTTGGAAACTATTGTTAATAAATCTGATTATTTTCCCTGACTGCCTTGCTGCTCTTATTTTTTTCTCTACATATAAATTCACACTTTACGGCCGAGGTTTTCTTTGCTTGCTCTGCTTTCCGGTTTCTTAACTTTCATCTTATTCCTGTCTTTTTTTTCTTCTCCTCTTTGTCCTTTCTGCCATCTCTTCACCATTCCTGTTTCTCCTCCTCCTGTCCTGCTACCATCCCCTCTCTCCACCATCCCTGCTCCATCAGGGATAAATTTGTGGAGGTGGATCTGAAGCCCGTGTGCAAACGCTGCTTTGAAAGGCTTCCGGATGACATGAGGCGTCAGCTGGCCAAGCGTGAACGTGACTCTAAAGACAAGAAGAGGAAACTGTTGATACCCATGTGTCTCTGATTCCTTTTTCTTTTTCCCACTTTGGTCAGTTCTGATTCTCCCTTTTCTTTGTTTCAAGTTTTCAGGCCACATTTTACCCTGAAACCTTTTTTTTATATATATATATTTAGCATGCAATGATATGGATTTGGCTTTGGGCATTTAGAGTAATATCTAGCATGAATTATTTATCTTTGTCAGCAAAATATTTTCATATATAAGAGTTTTGTTATATAATTAACACTGCTTCATGCCTAGAACTTTGTATCATCTTACCCGATTATTGAAAATTCACGATTTGCTGTAGTTTCCATACAGTTGTTAGTGAGACTGATTGACCTTTGAAACCATGAAGTCTTAAAAGGGAGACAGACATTTATTTATTTTTTATTTACTGTTGGTTGTTTTCTAAATAGCCCTAGATATCTATTGGAGCCACTCAGTACACTTATTTTTAAAAGATAAATGCATTAAGTTATTAAATGACAATAGATTTTCCATTTTATTTAAAAGATATTTGATTGTTTTATAGTTTTCCATGGAATGAATGCCATCTTCACTTAACCTAACTATGAGTCAAAAGGAAAAAAATGACAAAACAATCGATATTTGTAAAATATTGCACTTTGGCTTAGTGTTGCTCATGAACGACACAGCATTTGCAAAGACCTTCAATGGTAGACCCAAAGTTACACCATTGGATGTACAGTTTGGAGTGATGTAATGCGGTTAGTGTTTTCCCCTGCATGTGACGACCTCTGAGCAGGAAATGAAGATCAGGATTTGGACCGGCACTTGCTATGCAAACAGCAGAATCAGATCAGGTGCAGGCTGAAGGGAAAGCTTTGTGTTCTGGCTCCTTTAGTCTGGTCTAAGGAGTAAAGCCATAATCGCATCCGGCAGCTTTCTGGCCTCCGCTGAGAAAATCCAAAGTTTCCTCCTGGCGCTACGCGTGACCCAGTCCTGGTAGAGAGAAACGTCATTAAGAAACAGCAGTTTAGAGGAGTTCGAATTAATTAGCCGACAGTATGCTGGTGAAGATTCTCAGTCATCCATATTGTAGTCATTCCAAAAAAAGTTAAAAAACAAACAGCTGGACTTTGTTTTCCAAGTTTGAAGGCAATTAGTTTCCCATCCAGGAAGCTTTTTCAATTCAAAATGTCTGGAATAGTGTTGAGTTTCAAGCTTTATAGAGTAGCCCAACAAAACCTTGTTATGGCTGAGAAAACATGCAAATTGAACCGAAAGAACAGGTCCACCTCTTAGGAATGGGGAGTCGTTGAGGTAATTGTTGGCCTGCAATACCCAACACTGGTCTATGCCTCTGAATAACTCAACAACGACCTGTTCTTCCTGCTCAAATTGCATGTTTTCTAAGCCATAACAAGGCTTTCTTGTGCATCTCTACAAGGCTTGGAACTCAACGCTAATCCAGACATTTTGAATTGAAAAAAACAACTCCTGGATATGAAACAAAATGTCTTCAAACTTTGAAAATAAAGTCCAGTAGATTGTTTTTTTACTTTTTATTTTTTTATTTTTCTTCAAAGAAGAAACGTTTATCCTTCTGTAGGCCTGTGCTGTGATGCTTGTTGTCATAAAATGAATAAATCGTTGATTTTATCAGTTCATCAGTTTAGTTTTTCACCTTATAGGAGAAATTCACATCAAAACAAACAGGATCCATAACATTACAATCACACATAAACACAGAGCTGACATCCATTAAATAAAAAGCACATATAGAGCTATATCAAGTTAGAATGTAACAACTCCTCCTTTAACAGGATAATATTCGTGTTCTTACAATCTAGATATGTCGCACTAACAGTACAATATGAAAACCATATCATGTGAGCAATAGATTTTACTTTTAAACATCACTCCCTCTGTTATTACTCAAGTGTTTACCTTATGACATCATGGAGTTAATGAAGGTGCAGATAAGATGAATTCCTCACGTATACTAGAACATAAGTTTTAGTTGATGCTTTGATTGAATCATGGAGAAAACTTGATCAGTATTGATAGTCATGCATCCACTGGCAGGGGACTGAAATCCTGTGAAACTTCACTGGAGGAAGAACAGATCTGATCTGATTGAGGTGATAGCGTTTCTCCATGGATCCAAACCGTTTGTCACACAGAAGGATTAACAGACACATCTGGATGTTTGCATGGCTGAGCAAAGGCCAAATTGGCCCAAGAGGATCCTAAATTAACTTGGCATGTTTACTCTTATGACATTTCTTAACATATTTTAGTTACTTACAAGAACACAAATTCTTCTAACCAAATCTTGATGTTTGGATGATAGATCATCATGGTGTCATATATAATATAGGAAAGTGGAAATTATTTGTATAAAATGGGATATAAAATTGTAACAGCAGGAGTTAAAGGCTTCCATACAGCTCTGTTTAACCCTAATTACTCTAAAGATCAGTCATCCAGGTTTACTTTCTGTTATAAAAAATAACAAAAGTACAGTTTAAAGGTCCACCATAATGCGCCACTTTGCCCCAGTGATGAGGCATCTAACGACAGAAGGGTGGAGCCAGAAAACCAAAGCAGCTATCAAAATATTATGGCAGCAATAGCTTCTGTGACTCAGTTCAGGAAATATAATCAGCTGAACATAGAAACTCCAGCTAAAAGTCCCTTCCTTGGAAAAGTAAAACAGGTAGATCTATTCTGGTGCTGAAGCAATAACTGCTAACAATGCATACAGGCAGAGGAGCCAGAATGACTCGCTAAGTGAGGAAATGTAGTCGGTTTGTTCTTCACAGTGTTACCCTGAAAGCATTAAAACTAGCCCAGAATAACCTTGGACATGAAAAATACAAATATTTTACATTTCAAAACCATATTTGAGCCCACATTGTATTAGGCTATGTACTCCAGATGAACTAATATTAGCATTTTGTCACTAAAGTATAAGAGAAAGTGAAAGATTTTCACATATGATCAGGAAGAGAGATATATTTGGAAAAACAAAAGCATCCATCTCTGATTTATAAATTTTTCACTATAGAGCAGCAATTCCTATACCTTTTACTGTCTGTAGAGAGGTCTTAACATCTGGACTGCAACTTCTTATCCCCCCACCCCAATAGGAACAAGTTTGTTGAGTTCGACATGAAGCCGGTGTGTAAGAAGTGCTACGAGAAGTTCCCCTTGGAGCTCAAGAAGAGGCTGAAGAAGCTGTCTGAAGCTGCTGCACGGAAGTGAACAGAGTCAAGCAGCAGGAGGAGAAACCCTGAGGTGGCCAGGATTGAGTCCACACCAGAGTCCTCACTGGTAGCCCCACACTCACAGTGTGCTGGCCCTTGATTTCATACTTTAGCTTTGCTATTTAAGTGCTTTTTTGCATCAATTTTGCATTATATACTATTTCATATTTTTGCTTGTTTTCACTTTTCATTTTTAATATTCATTCTATATTTAATATCCTGTAAGAGATGTGGAAATATAATGAAACGCTGTGCTGACAGCTTGTTTTCTGTGTTATCTGATGCCAAAAGTGACTCCTTTTAGAATACTAATACTAATGGCTATTGAAAACAATCCAAAAATGTATTTTTGCCTACATGTCCTACAGAGGTCTAATGATGGAGGCTTTTCTTATGCTTGTTGTGGCACTAGCAGTTTTTACTGCAAGTGTTCAGACAAGAAATGGCTAAGGAGAGAGAAGAAGGGAAGACATGCCTTAAAAGATCCCACAAGCCAATGCCAAACACAGGAAGGCCGCTCAGGGACTGAAGGCCTCCATATAAGGGTCTATCTCTCCACAACTTGATGCCCCTCCTCATCCCAGACTGTTAATCATTTCAGGTCTAAATAAATATGTACTTAGTTTAACAAAGTAAAATCCACATTTCATTAGAATTTCATGCACAAATTAGCAAAACTGTAAAACCAGCATAAAGAATGATCACAGTATTTATCATCTAATTTCAGATAGAATGCAATATAAATATAAGCAGGTGTCATCTGAGATTAATCAGCAGCTTTTAAATGTATGTTCTCAATCACATAACTGTTGTTATTATAGGATAGACTAGCAGTTGCTTAGGTTTTAATAAATAAATATTGAAATCATATTTATTTTTTTTCTACTCAAAAGTGCTTAGTATTAAGTGTGACTATTAGAAGTGATGCATGATGAACATTCATTACGCCGATGAAAATAACATAAAAGTAAAACAGGCATTACAATTTTTTTATTCAATCTTATTTAGTTGATACATCATTTAAAAAGAAACTTTTTTTGCAGTCTCCACAATTATTTGAATGTCTACTTTTAAAAATCAGCTCCGTTAAGCAACAAACAAGCTCTAAACAGATTTATAGCAGCTGTTTAAATTCACAGCACCTGTTACCACGTGTGTGTGTGTGTGTGTGTGTGTGTGATTGTTAGAGCCTGTGCCATGTGCAGAAACCGGATGTAAGAGTCTAACATGCTCGGTGTTAAGATTGCCTCTGTTGATTGTAAATCCATTGAAAACGATCATCTTAAGGAGCTTACAAACTTCCTGATTCACTTCAGCAAAGAAAGCAGCTGCCCTGTTTCACAATAGTTATTTTGAGTTGTATTTTATCTTTTATTGTTTGTTCTTCGGATTTCAATTCCATCGAAGGAAAAACACATTCCACAATTTACGCTTAGACAAAAGTTTCTGTTTTCCATTTTCTGTCAAGCAGCCACATTTCTTTTGCAGAAGCACCAAACGGACTGGTTGTTGCTGGGCAAAATTTGAGTAGCACTATGAATGCTCCAGGGTTTAGTTTTATCTGTCATGTCACAGCAAGTGTTGAATATATCCCTTTCAAAAGCTTTCCCTGTTGTACTTCACTGTATTACTGCTTTATTGCTGTCAGACTGTCTGAATAAACACTATATACAAGCTTGAAAAATGTACAAAGTGGTGATATTTTAGGTAAAGGAATTTACATGTATATTTATTTCAATTTAGATTCATGGTTAGAAAAAGCATTGCTGGTAGAGGATTAGAGCCACTGAAAAAAACACTCGTAAAATCAAAAAAGGCTATTTATGACTTTCATCTCAAAATTCTGATTTATTCTGATTGTAATTGTAGAATTTTTACTTATTCTGAATAATTTCACAATTCTGATTTTGATCTCAGCATTATTTCAACAGAATAATGGCTAGTTGTAATAGTCCTATATCAAAGTGATAATCCTGGGCTTTGGTGATAGACTCCTAAGTAATCTGGCTTTGAATTCTGAGATTAAAAGTCAGAATTCTGGGAATAAAGTCAGAATTCAATCGATTTTTTTTTATTGTCAGTTATCAAAATCCAACGTGAGATAAAGAAACCAGATGCTTCAGTGAAGATAATTCGAGATTCATGCTTAGTCCAGTATTTTTGGTTATGAACATTTACAAACACAAGAAAAGATTTATTGCATCCATCTTCTCCCACTAATTCCATCAGGTTCTCAGTGGGGCCGGTTCCTATCTCTGGCTGTCTAAAGGCAAGAAGCGGGTACACCCTGGACAGGTCGCCTGTCTGTCTCAGAGCATTACAGAGATGCAAAGCATGCACACACTCACAGCAAAGTACAATTTAGAAAAGCCACTTAACAGTCATGCTTTTGAAATGCAGGAGGAAGCTGGAGTACCGGGAGAGAACCCAAACATGCATGGAGAGAACATGCAAACTCCACTCAGAAAGAACCTGGCCTGAGGATGTAAGGCAACAGTACTACAAACTGCACCACCGTGTAGCCTGATATATTCCTTTATCTGAAAAAAAATCTGTTTCCTTTCAAAACCGCACACTGAAATAAAAGGATCTTGTTGTATTTTCTGTGTTTACTGTTGTTGCCATGGCACCTTTATGGGTTTCTGAACGGTAGACCGTCTCATCCAAAGTACTGCTGCCGAAATCCTGAACAAGCATTATTTTTCAGATCACACTGTTTTTTAAAAACACTGCACTGTCTTATGAAAAAAACAACATGTTGACTCCTTTAAGAATGAAAACATTGATCAAAGACTTTAAACAATGAAGAGTTGATCTTATCATTGATAGGTGATTCAATCATTTGATTGAAGATTCAATTTACTTTTTGACCATTCCTACTTCAGCTCTTAAAGGGTTTTAAAAGTAATTTAAGACCCACAAGGGGATTCCAAAAGAATCAGAGGGATGATGCATCACTGTATTTGTTTCCTTATTTCTTAAAGAGAGGGAAGGTTGAAGAATCAATGTGATCTAATTAGAGGAAGCCACATTTCATATTCTATTTGCCTTATATGTGAAAAATATAGTAGAAAACAAACTCCTTACAACCCCTGGAGGATTTCCATGGTAAAACAGCAGCATTTCAGCACTGGTTTCACTTAATGGTAAGATAAGTGGAGCTAAATATAGAAAACTGTTGGATGCTGCAACAAATTAGAGGCTTGGTTTATCATGCAGCAGCTCAGTAACCTTGAACATGGAGCTTAAATTACAACAAAATAGTTCTGATCAATACATGTGTGTCAGATTGGCATAGTTAAATCCATGACATAAACTCCGTTAGTCTCTTTGAACCCCAGTCGGCCTCGGCAGATGGCCGCTCACACTGAGCCTGGTTCTACTGGAGGTTCCTTCCTGTTAAAAGGGATTTTTTTCTCTCCACTGTCGCTACAAGCATTCTTAGTGTGACGAATTGAATTCGAGTCAATGAGTCGACTGGTTTTCCTTAGATAGAAAACTTTGAATCAATTTGACTGTATGATCTGGTTAACTGTATATTGCCTTGAGATGACATGGGCACAATATAAATAAACTTAATTGAATTAATAATTTTCCGAGACTTAAACAATAAATGAAAAGGTAATGCATGATAAGGAAAAGAAAAAACATTTTCAACTATAGTTAAAATATTCACATTAATTTTGTAGACTTTATATGAATCTCCCAACAAACAAACATTCTGTGCAGAGTGTAAGAAAATTAGCTCAAGTAAAAAAAATGATTTTATGAGAAATCTTTAGAGTCTAAAACTCAATAAAAAAACCCAATAACCTTCTGTTCCTGTTAGTCTAAGCTACAGATTTGTCATAATCTCGTAGCGCGTGTTATAGAAATATCTACTTCTGCAGGTTCGTTCTCTGATCTCTTTCCGGATTTTAAAATCTGCCAGTGACCCTACGTCAAACAATCCTGAGCTCTGATTGGTCCGGAAGTCTGTTTCATTTTGACGAAGGACGACGTAAGGCGCTCTGCCATTTGCTTACGCATTATCACTATGGGGAAATAACGTGAGCTTAATGTCAGTGTTTTTTTCCTTCACATTTCGCGAACTTTTAGGCTAATCTTCGCTCAGCTCGCATAGAGGTCCCAGACCTTTGAAGCCATGAGGCGGAGTAAGGCTGAAGTGGACCGCTACGTTTCCACCGTACAGAGTTCTTCTCCTTCACTCAAAGAGGTAGGATAGTACCCTCGGTTAGCACGTTAGCCTCCCTCAGCGGCTAACTTCTAGCCACATGTGACATTTTGTTGGCTTGTAGATTCAAATGTGGCTGTATTTCGTCAGAACAACAGTCGGAATTTGAACTAAAAGATATCGTCATAAGTTGGTTTGGATATGTCTGCTCGCTCTGTTAGCTTTGTCCTGCTAGCTCTGCACATGCCACCGGCAAATAAGTTAGCTTCCGAATCATAGCATCTCAGGATAGGGCAAACAGTATGCTTATATCAACCAAGCCAGGAAAAGGCTTTTATCTGCTGTATTACAGAAATCTAAAACCCTCTAAATTCAAACGGTTGACTGATTAATCTGCTCATATTAAATCCAACTTGACTAAATAAGCAATGCTATTAACGTTTAACGGTTAACTAACTGCAATAAAGTTGTATTAGTTTAATACAGTTAGTGAACTGTATAGAAAACTCACTTCACTTTTTGATATTTCCATGTATGTTTTTTTTTTTTTATAAAATCTGATAAACTAGTGTTTAAACTATACATACGGTGCCCATTTATGAAAGCCCCGCGCCTGGAAATGCGCGGTTGCATTACGTTTCATAAACCAACCCGAGCTAGTCACCCAAACACACACACACACACACACACACACACATATATATATATATATATATATATATATATATATATATATATATATATATATATATATATATATATATATATATATATATATATATATATATATACCAGAGAATGTAAGTATGCAGATTGAAAGCTTGTTTTTATGGGTTAAGGAGGACAACTGTATTAAACTGAGTCGGTTGATTCTCCAAACACTGTACCAGGTTAAAATGCAAAGTATGTAATTTAAAGTCTTATGAAAACGACTAAAATAGACCCGCGGATCCTGAATTATACATTTAGCTCTATAATTGGAAGAAAAAATCATGTTTTCAATGTTTTCTGTTCGTTCTGGATGTGACACAGGGACAGGCTATTTTAAAACAAGACAAAATGATTAAAGGTTTTAATTTTTAAATGATCTATAGTAGCTGACTAAAAAAATGCTAACAAAACGACTTTCCTGGACCATATTTTTCAAATGTTTTCATTTGGATAGAAAACCAAATAAAGTCTTGACAGTAATATGTTTCGTTTCTCTTGTTCAGAAAATGCCCAGACAGACCTTTAAACAGCATTAACCAAATCTGCCAGAATACGCATATCCTTAGATACAGCTGCTTTAGTGAACCCTAGTGAAGGATAGATAAATGTGGATTATTTATTTTGCTAGATTTTAAGAAATTACTCAGAAATGGTTTAACCACATATTATTACTCCCCCCCCCCCCTTTTTTTTATTACAATTTTTTTTCCTTCATTTTTAAGCATTAAAGGTCAACATCCCATGGTTGACAGTAGTTCTTTGTGAAAGTATAGCACTGATCAGTGTGGCTTCCGTTGCATAAGGAGATTAAAATCTAGAGAAATAAAACTGATATGTCATCTGATAAATCCAGATGAACTCTTTTATTATGCAGAAAGAAATGCAAGGCAACACATTGATTCTGTAAATGAAGCTGTAGGTGTCCCACTTTTGTTTGTGAATCAGGGAATATATATGGTAAAGCTGTTTTCATGACTTATGCTCAGCACTTATAAACCCCCAATGTCTAGCTGCTGGACTTGACGTCTTCTAACTCTATGTTAATGTCTTGTTTAATAAATATGGTTATAATGGCCAGATGAAAAGATTGTAAACACATAGCATTCTTATTTATAAATATTATTTTTCTTCTCACGCAGAAGCCAGTCAAAGGATTTTTGTTTGCAAAGCTCTACTATGAAGCAAAAGAATATGAACTTGCAAAAAGGTGCGTATAGAAGTGTTTGCATAAGGAGCTGATTTGCCTTTGCAGTATTGACTGTAATTGATACACGTCATATATGCCCCTCCTAGGCATGTATCTGAGTATCTCAAAGTGCAGGAGAGGGATCCCAAAGCACACAAATTCCTTGGACAGCTCTATGAAAGAGAAGGAGAGATCAATAAAGCCGTTGGTTGCTACAAGGTAGGATGGTTATGCTGAGTGTAAAGGGTGAAGAACCCTTGATGGTTAATGCATTAATCTAGGGTTAATATGTGCCACAAATTGTTGTTGTTTTTTTTTTACATGAATAATTTCTGTCGGCTTTTTTTTGTTTTGTATAGAGGCTCTATCAAAATACAGCATGCATAAAAATGAATTTAAACATAGGTTTTCCACTTAACTTTAGGCTAAAATAACTGTATTGTTTTCAAATACAAGTTTGAAACTATTTGCAAATAAAACATTCTTTACAACTTAAAAAAAATTACCCCAGAAGTGTATCTCTTGTGGCTCTTAAACATAATGTAATATGAACAAATCCATATTTTCCCCTGTGGAAGCCTCTTTAATTTTGAGGACATCTGTAGTAATTCGCAGTGTGACTCTTCATGTGCAAATGTTCCTGCTTTAAATCTTGTGTTTTTATGCAGCGATCGGTGGACTTGAACCCACTGCAACGAGACCTGGTGCTGAGGATTGCTGAGTTACTAATCAGTAAGGAGGACTGCGACAGCAGAGCAGAGTTCTGGGTTGATAAAGCTGCAAAGCTCATGCCTGGAAACCCTCAAGTCTTCAACCTAAAGGTAAGATCTCCTCTACTAAGTTATACTTTGGCGTTTTTAGGCCATCTGTGATGCAGCTACCCCTCTAGCCTGTTCTTCTGAACAGCTTCCTTGTTCTCAGCTCTTTGCTGCACATCTGTTTGTATGTTCAGGAACGGCTGTTGAGTCGCCAGGGCCAGAAGGGCTGGAACCAGTTGTTCGATCTCCTCCAAGCAGAGCTGGCTGCGCGACCGGCTGACGCTTACGTGAATGTAAAGTTGGTTCAGCTGTTTTGTGAGGACGGTCAGAAGGATGAGGCCGTAAAGCATTGCCTGGCTACAGAGAAAAAAGGTCTGCTACGCAACAGTGCAGAGTGGTACAATGTGCAGTTGAACACTTTACAGGTGAGGACTCACCCTCATTTTTTGGGCCAAATGCATCTTTAATTAGCCGGGAGCATATTTAATTTAATTAGGTGTTTCATGTTGTTTTTCCGAGCATCATTAAAAACTGAAGCTATTAAACTTGATGTCTTCCAGGATTATCTGGCTCAGCCCAGCGTTTCAAGCAATGAGAAGATGTGTCGACGTCTCCAGAGAGAAGTACTGCTGGCACACTGCAACCTGCTGCGCATCAGGCTGTCTGAGAGCAGCGTGCAGCCGAGCCTCGATGCATTCAGAGGGTAGGTCAGCTACAGGAGCGTTTCTATTGTTGAAATAACCTTTGTATGTAAAATTAAATCCAAAATACTTGGTTAGAACCTCGTTCATTATTGCAACACCTCATAGAACATTTTTTATTCAATGTTTGAATTATTTTAGCGGTTTTGAAAAATGGAGAGTCTTGTTTCATTTTTTCCTCTTGCAAATCATGTGCTGTTTGTCTCCTAAAGAGCAGTAAGGTTGTGGGTGTGAATACTTTTGCACTCAGACCTATAAAGCCAATTTAATATCCTTCTGTTTTAGTCACTGTTCCTCTGTTTTCAGTGATTCCTAAATAAGACATGTCCTAAGGATCTGTAATGTCCATAGAGCGCTGAATTAGAACATGTTGGATTACATTACTGTTTCTCTTATTACGTGTGAACCCTTTAAACTCCCTCAGGTGTTCAGAGAACGTCCTACTCTATGTTCCCAAAACTATGACTGAAAAACTGAGACCTGATTTGGGTCCGGTGCTTCTCAGCTGTGAAGCAACTCCGTGAAGTCCTAAGATTTCAATCAGAGCTGAAAATATTGTTTACCGCAACTTCTGATCAGCTGGTCCCATGATTAAGCTGTTTATCCGTTAATCAAATGATACAGCTGAGAATGAGTATTGGATTTGCTTTTCAATACGCGTTTGCATTTAGACAGCCGTCCCTGGTGTTTGACATAATAATGTCCCTCTTTAAACTAAGCTTAAAGGTTTTTACTCTGTTGTCTTTCTTTGATGCTTATAGAAAAATCTTGTTTTGTACAGTTTTGATAAAGCCATGCAGGAACTGACCAGCGTTGCCGGTCGGTTCACCGATGATCTTCTTGAGGTGTTTTGGGAGATGAGAGCTCACCTCTACCTGCATGCTGCCACGCTGCTGCTGAAAATGGCTCAAGATCGGCAGGAGACGTGGAGATCCGTTGTTGACCTGGCCGCGCTGTGCTACCTGCTGGCATACCAGGTACTGAAGATAAATCAAACACTAGGACACTTCTCCTTTCCAGTTTATGTTTTCTTTCTGAAAATATCTCCTGTAATTTGCCAGATGCCCATTCTAACTATTTCCTTTTTTTCACCAGTCTCCCAGACCAAAGGCAAAAGTGACCAAAAGGGACCAGTCTGCTCCGCAGCTCCTGGAGCTGCTGGCCAATGACCGGCAGAGTCAGGCTGGGCACATGCTGTTCAATCTGAGCAAAGATGTGTTCACTTTGATCAAAGAGGTCAGCTTGCTTTTGCTCTGGTTTATCATAAAATGTAGATGTAGTTCACATAGATTTTGTGCCGAATTTAAAGAACAGATGGCGGTTAGACCCTCACTTTTATCAATGTTTAGAAAAATATGTCAGGATTTTTATATATTTTTTGAAATGAGGGTACTAGAAGTGAGGTAATGTCGGGGAGTCCACTTAGCTTTACAGCTGTAAACGATGGATACCAATGCTAATTCAGACAATGTTTTTTAATTTTTTTTTATTTTTAGATAATTTCATTTTCAAAGCTGTATAAATGAAAATGTGATAAAGTATTTAACAAAAAAAAACAAAAAAACATTCGAAATGCTGATTTTTCTGTTTTTTTAAGATGAGGTTTGGATGCCTCATGTGGTCCCTTACTAGATGTGCTGTTGAAAAAGAATACACTAAAGCATTTCATGAGTTTTAAGAATGATTAGCTGTTTATTATATAGCTGTCTAAAACTTCTTTCTAGTAACAAATGTGAAATATTTTTTCTTGATGTAGGTGGTGGAGGCATTTGGAAACCGTAGTGGTCAGGAGTCTCTGTTTGAACTCCTATGGGGTCAGCAGGCTTCCCCTGCATCCTCTTTTATCGCCAACGATGACATTCGCTCTCTCAGCCCTTTGGCTCCAGAGCTCTCCCAACTGGCTAAATGGGACACGGGTAGGAAACTTAAAAACTACCCATGCATCAACCGTTCCCTTTTTAATGACTTTCTCTTAACTGTAATAACTAAAAAATATATATATTTTTAGGCTCCATCTTGTTGCACAGTGGTGAACTGCAGCATTTGAGCTGGTTGGGGCTCCAATGGACTCTTCTAGAGCAGAGGCCACCCATGCGGGACTGGCTGCAGCAGCTGTTTCCAAGGCTTACACTGGAAACGTCCAAGTTGGACACCAATGCACCAGAGTCCATCTGTCTGCTAGACCTTGAGGTGAGCTTCCATGATAAGGGGATGTTGGATGGAGCAAAAGGATCAATAAACCAAGATTAGCCCCAAAAGAATCTCGGTGAATTAATCAATCTTTACCTAAAGAAGAGTAGCAGGAAAAAAGCTTGGGTAGCAGCAGCTGTGCTTAATGACAGCACAACTTTAAGCAGCTTTCTCATTGGTGTGGAGATATTTTCCAATCAACAGAGCTGACGAAGCATCCTTGAAGACGTTCTTGTTGAAGTTAGGTTTTTCCAGAGTAATAAATATCTGGTGGGTATGAAGTTATAGTTGAAAACTATAGGCAAACTATAGGGGGCAGTGGTTGATGCCTGCGACTATAGCCTGGATGTAGGGACAGCAAATGGTGCCACCATCTACGTTCTTAGCAATAACTGCTTTTTGTCCTACATAGCATCCTGCTAACACCATTACTACCTTCCCAAGCTTCATAGATTTGCCCATTGGGATGCTGCTCTATGGCCACCGCTGACACGAAAAGGAAATCTAGGGCACAAAGAATTTCCCTAAAATTTGCTTAACTTTTATGCAGCATTCAGATCAACACATGGTATAACTTTGTATACGAAATAGTTAAATCTCAGTAAATATATGTGGGCTGAAAAAAAATCACAAGCATCCCTAATTAAACTAACTGGACTGTCTGCAAGAAACTGAATCTTAAAGGTTTTCTCCTGGGATTGCCCTGCATTCACAGAAATAAAGCTTCCCTTCAGGATGATACTCCCTCTACTTAAACAATAGTTAATTTTTTTTTTTTAATAGCTTATATGCAAAAAACAAGATTTTTGATTATATATGAAAAAGTGTCAAATACGAACACTACATTTATGGCTGAAAAATAACAATCAAATCACTTTAAAGTGAATTTGAGCTATTCATCTCTTTCTTTGTAGACGCCATCCTTCAAAATGGTCCTGTTAAAGCGCAAACTGTGCTTTTTTTATTTTAGTATAGCTCAAAGAGTAGTAGATAAAAAAAAAAAATATATATATATCTATATATATATATATAGCACCATGAGAGGGTTGATTTTAAAATTGAATTAGGGACAGGGCAGCTAAATGCAGACAGAAGGTCTTTCACTGCTAAATATTAGAAACTGCTTTAGGGCAGCACAGATCAAAACCTTGATGGAGAAATGTAATCCAGGCCGCAGAGCAAGGTGGAAGGAAGACTCGTATCGAATATCAAGTCATCCTCTATTACAGTCTGTAATGGACGACATAACCTTTTCCTCAGATCTTAATGGATACAAACTTTTCTGCAGACTCAGCCTGAAATGTTGTTTATGTTCTTTTTCTTACGTAATGCATATATTATTCTTTATGTCCCTGAAACACACAGAAACTAAGTTAGTTTCTTTGTTTTGCTGCATTCAGGTGTTTCTATACGGGGTGGTTTTCTGCAGCCACTGTCAGCTTCAGGACACGGCAAAGATCAGCCGCAGCCTGAGCCCACAGAAGCAGCAGCAACTGTTCGAGCCCCGCTGCCTTCCTCTTCCTCTGCTTCGCCTCCTGACCACAGACAGGCAGAGGGAGTGGTGGGACGCCATCTACAGCCTCATTCACAAACGAGCCGCGTGAGTATCAGAAGAAAATACAGCAGATGTGGCACCAAAGACTTAAAGATCAGGTTTATATTATCAAACCAGTGGATGGAGAAACTCAGCAGTGTTTGACCCATTTCCTGTTTAAATCCTTATTTTTATCATTATTTATTATCTAAAGTTGATTTATCTTACTGATTAATTGGAAAGAAGCAATTTTCTTAAAAACTGTGATTTTTCATAATATGAAAGGCTAAAGTTTTTACTTGTCCCAGCTGTATCAAATAGTGATGAAACAAAAATGTGTGGTTTAATCGCAGTCCTGGTACATCAGCCAAGCTGCGAATGGTTATTCAACATGGAATGAACACTCTGAGAGCTGGAGAGAAACACGGGCTTCAACCGGTGCTGGTGATCCACTGGGCGCAGAGGCTCAGCCAGACGGTACGTCAAACACTCGCATTAATAGAAAGGTACCTCCACTGAATCTCAAATCACCGGGGGAACGCATTAGTCTCCACTTTTATAAATTGAGATGCAAAAGTATTTTGACATCTTTATCTTTGATGTATTAGCTTTGATGTATTTAAAACTTGTTTAATGCTGATTTAAAGTTTTTAAGACAACAAAGTAGAAGGAAAATGATGCATGGTTAAACTGAGGAGTTGAGAATCCACCACTTTTACTCTGATTCTCCTAAATCAAATGTAGTGTCTTTAGTTAACAAGGCAGGTAAGGAGTTAAAGGCAGTTTTTGTCTTTTTAAAAACTGGGAAAATGGATTTTCCTTCAGTTTTGTGCAACTTTGTCTCTGACATCCTACTGAGAAATATTAAAGTTTAGTTTTAAGCTAACAAAGTATTAAAATGTTCATGTGTTGAAAGACAAGGATCTGTAATCCTAACAACTTAAATTCTTCATATTGAATCTAGTTAAACTCAAACCTGCTGAAAAACATCATGTTTAGTGTCTGTAGATGCTCACATCATCACACCTGCTCCTCTCCCTTCCTTTTCTCCTCAGCTGCTCAGCAGGATTAAGTCCAAAGGACTGAAACAGCCTCATATGTTTTTTGTTTTTTTTCTTTTTTCCATTACTCGTCTCCTGATTTTTGTTTGTTAATGTAAATGTTTATGCTTTGATACACAGGGTGATGGAATAAACTCATATTACGACCAGAAGGAGTACGTTGGCCGCAGCGTCCACTACTGGCGAGTCGTTATGCCTCTGTTGGAGAAAATAAAAAACAGACGGGGTATACCAGAACCCCTGGACCCTCTCTTTATACACTTTACTTCTAAGGATATTCAGGTAACTATTAAACTGAAAACAAGCTTCAGATCCTTACTCGGAGTCGCACCTTATTGCTTTACTGACGTCTGTTCGCTTTATGTTCAGATTTCTTCTGTGAAAGCTTATGAAGAAGAAGCCGAAATAGCTTATGCTGTTCTTCTGGACATTGAAGGCAGAACAGAGGAGGCTATTGCGACTTTGGAAAGCATCAATAACATGTCATCCATCTGGCATTTAGCACAGGTAAAGGACCTACTGTTCTGCAGGCACAGGATGCGACAAGATTCTTACTGTGTGAGAAGTAAAAATGATAGTCGCTCTTTTTTTGGTTGTTACCAAACATGATTGCTAGCCTACAGTCAGCTGCTAAACAGACATGAGTTAATTTTTTAAACTGAGTTTTAGTGATCAGATGGATTAGGAAAAGCACCAGTTAGACCTTTTGTTGCTTCTGACATTTCTTTTTAGGTCTGATCCACATACTGACTAGTAATTTGTTCACATTTTCATATTTTGAGGTCTATAACTCATTTTATTTTTGTATTTGTCAATATTGGAAAACTGTGATTAATACATGCATCCATCTTTAATAATGGATGAGCTCTAATTCTCTCCTTCAAACAGGGATAGAGACAAAAAGTAAATTTAAGTACTTCAAATTGTAGACATTTTGTAGAACAAAATCTTTAATTAATTTTGGTTTTAAAACAAGAAATATTGATTTTACTTTGAATTTGACAATAAGCCCTTTGTCATGGGGTATCTGCTTTTATCAAAGGTTAATTGAATCTCTTTCTTTATGGTTTGATTCTACAACTTTTGGGCAAAATTGTACCTATTGTCAAAATGAAATGGTAATTCTGTTTATTTTCCAACAAATCACTTTTTTGTCTCTATATTGGGTTTCACACCATACTGTAGGTTCTGACACCCATTGAGTTTGTTGTCTTAGAGCCGAGGCACAAACTAATAATCTGCAGTTGTCTGTTGAGATATTTTTCAATAATTTTGTATTTCCTTACCTCTTTAAACAGCTTATAATTGTATGTATTCTTTAGCTGAACATGTTGAAACTGTTGTTAAGGAATAGGTCTATTATTTACTCTTCGGGGGGAAGAAACAGCGCTTCCTGTTACTGTAACACCAGTACTATCTTTGGATCAGGGATGGTGAAGCAGAGCCAATTCAGGAGATGAGAAATTTTTTGAACTCACTTATGTTTCTTTTTATTAGGGTCGTAATGAGAACTGGCCAAATTTCTTTACCAAAAGAGACCGAACCCTGAGGTTTATCTGTTATGTCTGCAGGGATTAATCATTTTGCATTTTCTGCTCTTCATTATAGGCTTGCTTTAAAAAGCTTGTGTGGTGCTCACCATGAAGTTGGCTTATGGTTTTGTAATTTATTTGGCAGATATATCAGCGACTTGCAGAGGAGGCCAGCAATGGTTTGGAGGAGACCCAAGACAGGTGTATCACTTTTCTAAGGAAGTTCAGGAACTATCTGTCTAAGATCTACAATGCCAATACAGAGGACATTGAAAAGGTGTGTGGCAAGTTTAAAGCATGAAAATAGCAATAGTTTCATACTTGGGTGTTGATAATATGTTAACACCTGAAACCAGGACTTGACATTTTAACCTATGAATCTTGTCATCTTTGCTAACCTGGTGCAGCTGCCGGTGTCCATGGAGGAAGTGTTGGACCTCCTGAACGACGTCAATCAGCAGCTTGGGGAAACTGGGGAGGTCATGGAAGAGGAGGAACAGCAGGAGCTGGAGCTTCGGCGAGGACCACTTCACTCTAGCCCTGCTCGTCTCACAGACACCAGTGCAGGCGTATCACATGTTAAGTTTGCTTCTCCCTCTCCAAGCAAAAGCATTGTTTCTCCCTCCAAACGACTGGTTAGTCCATACCTCCAGTTTTAGTATTTGTCAATCATTTCCATTAAATGATTATTGATAGAAAATTATTTTTCTCTTATTATGTACCCTTTTTTTCCATTCAGATTTCACCAAAGACGCCACCTCACTGGGTTGAAGACCAGAAAAGTCTCCTTCAGATGTTATGTCAGCAGGTGGAAGCCCTCAAGGTCAGAACTAAAGATGTAGAACATTGTTTAGCCACAAGCACACAAAAAGCAATAGTATTAACTAGTGCTGTCAAAATTATCGCGTTATTAACGCGTTAACGCGAGGCCATTTTAACGGCGATAATTTTTTTAACGTGAGATTAACGCTATGTGGTTTTATGGTACAATTTTCCAAGTACATCCCGCAGCAGCCTGCGAGAAGGCGGGGCGTTTTTCCCCCAGTGTATGCATTTCTCATAGGCTTCGAGAGCGGAGCTCCTAAAGGGAAAAAGACGCTCATACACTGGGTGACGCTAGTGCCTTTTCTTTAAGCCCCACCACCAACAAACAAGTTGAGTGTCTGGTAACTAGTAGCAACCTGAAATACGCTGAGAAAACAGATTCCTGAGGTGAAATGGAATCTGCTACGGCACTCTTGCCGTCTGTGTACGCCACAGGTCAGTATTGCGTGTGTGTGTGTGTGTGGGTGGGTGGGTGCTTGTGTGTGTGTTCTCATTTTTGTTAAGAGTCTGAAAAGTAACTTTCTAGAGCATAGACTACCTCCATCTAGTGATGTCGGTCTATTGATTTTGATGTATTGATTGAAAATTGTTCATTATTATCTTGGTTAATTAACATCTAATGTTAACTGTACTGCATTTTATAGCAGTAGGGTAAAATGCTTGTCTTTGTTCAAAAGACTGTATTAACTGTAAAGACTGTCTTTTACATCAGCCTGTTTTCAGGGCCTTTTTTTTGCCTACATATTTGTTATTTTTTGCTACATGCCTCCCCATCTTCTTGCCATATGTTTCTATGGCATAAATCAGTATCTGTGACCTGTTGGCAACATTGGCACAAACCTAGCCTGTATGTATTTTTTTGTATGTCATCGAGAGTATTTAAATGATTTTCAATCAGGAAAAAAATGTGCGATTAAAATGCGATTAATCGCGAGTTAACTTAGGCATTGGTGCGATTAATCGCGATTAAAAAAAATTAATCGATTGACAGCACTAGTATTAACATAAGGATTGTTTTAACAACAAATCCTTTTAAACATTTTTATAAATGTCACTACAGTTTATATTTTAATTGCTCTGAAATTAATTTGTTTACTAACTTTACCTTTTCCCCTCCAGAATGAAGTCCATGATCTAAAACACAATGCATCAGTAAACTCTGGTTCTCCGCACCATAAACTGTATGGAGAGAACTACAGGGCTGACAGCTTACAGGAGCCATTTACCCCAGTCCAGTCCTACCATGGAGCCCCTCTAACTGGTCTGTATTCTACATAGATTTACAACATTTTTAAAAGGTTTTCAAACTCCTGGAATGTTTCAGATTTTGTCAATAACGCCACAAAAGTAATTGGTTTTATTAAAGTTATAATCAAGACCCACACCAAGAATTGCTTTTGTTTTGTTTTTTTTCTTAACTGCGACACCTCTAACACAATCTAGTCACTCAAATTGTGTTTAGAAACCAATCAATTAGTAAATGGGGGTAACGTGTGAACAAGATGTGAAGATGATGGAACATATCTGATTGAAGGTCCTATATTTTGCATTTGTACGGTTTTCAAAGTTTACTATATATGTGATGAAATATTGCCTTTGGAACTAAATGGTAAATTACATTTTCAAGTTGGAGGCTCCAAAGCGCTTTATTACATTCAGTCATTCTAAGTCATTCTAAGTCAGTCATTGTAAACTGATGGTGTGGAGCTAAAACATAGCCACAGCTTCCCTGGGGTCATTGATAAAAACCAGGCCCTCTGACCACCAGAGGTAGGCAACAGAGGTGTTAACTGAGAGCAACTGGCAACCCTTCTGTTGATCATATATGGTGGATTTTGTGTGTTTTTTGTTTTTTTTTATGTAACTAATTAAATCTAAATAATATTGTTTAAGGAAGTTCAGATCCTACTGAAATAATTTTCATTCTATCAATATTATTGCAGGTACATCATTACAGAAAGAAGTTTGTTTCCTTCAGTTTTTTAACTTTTTTCTCTCTTTCAAGTTGCTACCACAGGCCCTCCTGTTTATTACAACCAGTCCCCTCAGTATCTACTGCGGACAGCTGCGAATGTAACTCCCACCAAGGTGATTGTCGTGTAACACATTATTTATTGAAGTACACTTTCGCAGACTGTTAAGTATTTATCTATTTTCTGGGTTGTCTTTACACAGGGTCCAATGTATGGTGTGAACTGTATGCCACCCCAGCAGCATATGTATGCCTACCAGCCGCCCACTCACACACCCCCACTGCAGACAGCCCCGCCCTGCATCTACCCTCCCCAAGAACAAGTTTTTAGTTCCCCTCTTCGGTTTGAGTCTCAGGCCACAGGTCTTCTTTCTCCATATAGTGAAGAATATTATGGGCAGAATGTTCCTCAGCAGACCACCAACCCAACTCTGCCTGAACCTGGCTACTTCACCAAACCATCTGTACTCCCTGTTCAACCACCAAAGAATATGGAAGGGAAGCCCATGGACTTTGGGAAGCTTTCCTTCAGCCAGCAGGCTTCAGATGATGTCCACAGAGTACCCAGTTTCGGAGCAGGGGCAGCAGCTCAGTCTACACCCCAACCTCCCTTCAGTTTCAACTCCTACCTGAAATCCAATGAAAGAGATTTAAGTTTATCTACATCCCAAACCAAACAAAGCGAGAGTTTGCTCGGCCTCCTCACGTCAGACCTCCCAGCAAAAACTGACACAGTTCCAGAGAAGCCCTCCGCGCAGCAGCAGCCCCCTAGCAACCAGAGCATCTTTACGTTTGGAAATAAAAACATAAGCAGCTTCTCTTTTGCAGATTCCACTTCCAAAACAGCGGCTGGAGGCGTCTTTGGGAAGGTGGAACAGCCGTTTAAGTTTGGTGAAGTCACCCTCCCAGCGTTTGGCATTGGCAAGACATCAGAGCCGGAGAAGTTGGCAGAGAGTGACAATGAGAGCACCCATGCTGAGGAGGATGAGGACGGTCCTCACTTTGAACCCATTGTCCCCCTTCCTGATAAGGTGGATGTGAAAACGGGTGAGGAAGAAGAGGAGGAGATGTTTTGCAACAGGGCGAAGCTCTACCGATTTGACACGGAGACAAAAGAATGGAAAGAGAGAGGAATCGGCAATGTTAAAATCCTCAGACACAACACTAAAGGGAAGGTGCGCCTCTTGATGAGAAGAGAGCAGGTCCTTAAGATTTGTGCAAATCACTACATTACTGCAGACATGCTACTGAAACCGAATGCTGGCTCAGACAAATCATGGGTGTGGAACGCCATTGACTATGCAGATGAAGAGCCTAAACCTGAGCAGCTGGCCATTCGCTTCAAAACTGTAGATGAGGCGGCTCTATTCAAAGCAAAGTTTGAGGAAGCCCAGAAAGTGGTGCCGGAATCTCCAGAAAAGAAAGAGAAGAAAGAGGAAACCTCCAAGGAGTTTGACTCTCTAGCAGCTCGATTTGCCCCTAAAGAGGGCGAGTGGGAGTGCGGTGTGTGCTGTGTCAGAAATACAGCAACGGCTACGCAGTGTGCCGCATGCTACACTGCCAATCCACAGTCCTCATCAAAACAAGAAAATCAGGTTACAGGTGAATCCAGTCCGTTCACCTTTAAATTTGGTACAGATTCATCAAAGCCAACCGGTTCAAGCTCCACGTTTGCTGGATTCAGTGCTTCATCAAAGCCAACCGGTTCAAGCTCCACGTTTGCTGGATTCGGTGCTTCATCAAAGCCAACCGGTTCAAGCTCCACGTTTGCTGGATTCGGTGCTTCATCAAAGCCAACTGGTTCAAGCTCCACGTTTGCTGGATTCGGTGCTTTTGGAACTTCTGTGCCCTCCTCCTTTACATTTGGGGGCAGCGCTACCAAGTCTGCTGACCAAACAGATAGTCCATTAGGTTTTAGCTTTAATTCACAATTTGTCACAAAGCCAGAGCAGTGGGACTGTGCCAAGTGTTCTGCAAAGAACGAGGCCTCAACAAACAGTTGTGTCTCTTGTAAAGCTCCTAAAACTACAGTGAAAACATCCGCAGTGGCACAAATAGCTCCAGCAACAGAACCTCTTCCTGCAGAGGCCCCCATATCGGCACCTGACGCTGGATTTGCCGTACGCTTCAGCAAGAAGCCTGGACAGTGGGATTGTAATGTTTGCGAAGTAAGAAATGAAGCATCTGCTGATAAATGTGTTGCTTGCCAAAGTCCAAACACAGCCTCTAAATTATCCAGTGGAGCTCCAGCTGCATCAAATGCTCAAGCAGTGTCAGGATTTCGGGCTGAATCTGCCAATAATTTTGGCACAGATTCATCAAAGCCACCGGGTTCAAGCTCCACGTTTGCTGGATTCGGCGCTTTTGGAACTTCAGTGCCCCCCTCCTTCACATTTGGGAGCAGTGCTGCAAAGTCTGCTGACCAAACGGGTAGTCCATTTGGTTTTAGCTTTAATTCACCATTTGCCACAAAGCCAGAGCAGTGGGATTGTGCCAAGTGTTCTGCAAAGAACGAGGCCTCGACAAACAGTTGTGTCTCTTGTAAAGCTCCTAAAACTACAGTGAAAACATCCGCAGTGGCACAAATAGCTCCAGCAACAGAACCTCTTCCTGCAGAGGCCCCCATATCGGCACCTGACGCTGGATTTGCCGTACGCTTCAGCAAGAAGCCTGGACAGTGGGATTGTAATGTTTGTGAAGTAAGAAATGAAGCATCTGCCGATAAATGCGTTGCCTGCCAAAGTCCAAACGCAGCCTCCAAATTATCCAGTGGAGCTCCAGCTGCATCAAATGCTCAAGCAGTGTCAGGATTTCGGGCTGAGTCTGCCAAGAAGGACGGAATGTGGGACTGCAACTCCTGTTTGGTCAGAAATGAAGCCTCAGCAGCTCAGTGTGCCTCCTGCAAATCTCCAAATCCAAACCCTTCTTTAGAGACCATGTTTGGCAAGAAAGAAGGAGAGTGGGACTGCGACGTCTGCCTCGTGAGAAATAAGGCCTCTTCTAATGAATGTGCGGCCTGTAAAACCCAAAACCCAAATGCGAAATGCTCAGTTACAGCAGTCCCCTCTGCCTCTTCTTTCAGTTTTAACTTTGCAAACAAGAGCTCATCAAGCCAGCCTGCTGGAGGTGCATTTACTTTTGGGAGCGGTGGGACTAAAGAAAAGAAATCATCTGCTGCAATAGAGTTTGAAGCTCCTCAGGCTGTTCCAACCACCACAAGCTCCTCTGGCTTTTCCTTTACAATGCCCATCCCAGCTGGTGGCTTCAAGTTTGGAGTTCAGGACTCTGTGGCAGATTCTGCCTCATCTGATAAAGCACCTCCACCTGGGTCAGCCTCCACTGTCCTGAAAAACATGGCTGACAAACACAAACAGAAAGAAACTGTGTCCACGCCTTCAGTGGACCAAAAGGAAAAGGATCTCAATCCATTAATAGCTGGAAACACCAATACCTTCAGTTTTGCAGACTTGGCCCAGTCCTCAGATGAAACCTTCCAGTTTGGCCAGAAAGATCCAAATTTCAAAGGTTTCTCTAGGGCAGGGGAGCAGGTATTCTCATTCTCACAGACGACCCCCACGAAGGCAGACACCTCAAATGACCTGGAAGACGAAGGCATGTATAAAACGGAAGAGCATGACGACATCCAGTTTGAACCAGTGATCCAGATGCCTGAGAAGGTGGACCTGGTGACGGGTGAGGAAGACGAACAGGTCCTCTACTCCCAAAGAGTCAAACTGTTTCGATTCGACACCGCCACCAGTCAGTGGAAAGAACGTGGCGTTGGGGTCCTGAAGTTCCTGAAGAACAACACAAACGGCCGACTGAGGGTGCTCATGAGAAGGGAACAAGTGCTGAAGGTTTGCGCCAACCACTGGATCACCACCACTACTAACCTGAAGCCCCTGGCTGGCTCAGACAAGGCCTGGATGTGGCTGGCCAATGACTTCTCAGATGGAGACGCTAAACTGGAACAGTTGGCTGCCAAATTTAAAACCACGGAGATGGCAAAGGAGTTCAAAGAGAAGTTTGATGAGTGTCAGCGACTTCTTTTGGATATACCCCTGCAGACTCCCCATAAGCTTGTGGACACTGGCCGAACAGCTCACCTCATCAAGAAAGCTGAAGAGATGAAGTCAGGTTTGAAAGACTTGAAGTCCTTTTTGACCGACGAGAAGACGAAGATCCAAGATGACGATATGCAGAGGGACGTCTCTGCCACAGGCGAAATGTCCGGTCTGGGGATAAGAACTCACGGGGAAACCACAGGCCCTACATTGGAGTGGGATAATTATGACCTACGAGAGGAAGCTTTGGATGATACTGCTGACTCCTCCATCTACACCACCCCTGTAGCCAGCAGCCCCCTGAGAAAGAACCTCTTCCGCTTTGGAGAATCCACAGGTGGGTTCAGCTTCAGTTTCCAACCTGGAATCAGCCCTTCCAAGTCTCCTGCAAAGCTCAACCTGAGCAGAGCCTCAGTGGGTACCGATGAGGAGCAGGACACGACTCAGGACGAGGAGCGAGACGGACAGTACTTTGAACCAGTGGTGCCTTTGCCTGACTTGGTGGAGATTTCTACGGGGGAGGAAAATGAGCAGGTGGTCTTTAGCCATAGAGCCAAACTGTATCGCTATGACAAAGAGATTAAACAGTGGAAGGAGAGGGGCATTGGAGACCTCAAGATTCTGCAGAATTATGACACCAAACGAGTCAGGTTGATAATGAGGAGAGACCAGGTACTGAAGCTCTGTGCCAACCACTGGATCTCTGCCGCCATGAAGCTGGAGCCCATGAAGGGAGCAGAGAAGGCCTGGGTCTGGAGTGCCTTGGACTTTGCTGAAGAAGGGGACGGTAAAGTTGAGCAGCTGGCTGTAAGGTTTAAGACACAAGAGTCAGCGAGCACATTCAAACAGGTCTTTGAAGAGGCCAAGGTGTCCCATGAAAAAGCAGAACTAATGACTCCTGTGACGGCAAGAGTCCCTACAACACTAGAAAGCGGTCCGGCAGCGCCATCTGAATGCACTACTGCGTCTCTCTGTGGGCCTGCAGCAATTGCTGTTCTGGAGGAGACGACGCGGGAGCGAACAGCAACTCCCCCTGTTACCAAGCCAACTGCAGCCGGATCCCCAAGTCCAATCAATCCCACGAAGACCGTGGTGTCCCCACCAAAGTTTGTCTTCGGCACTGATTCTGTTCAGAAGATCTTTGGTTCTCCTAAATCAGAGTCCCAAGCATCTGCATCTGTGACGAGTTTGACGGCCAAAGAAGGTGGAAGCTCCTCCAAGCCTGTTACTGCTCCAGCATTCAAAATGCACACAGGTCAGAAGAAGTTATTGCACATTTTAATTTTGGTTGATGGTGAAAGCTAGCTTTTTATTCCCTTTGTTTAGTCATCAAAGCTGACATTTGACCCATCACTAGAAATATTCTTTATAAAACCTTTTTTTTTTTGTGCTCGATGTTACTATTTAATATTTTTAAAGTGTCATATTTTGTTAGATTAATCTGTGCAAACAGAACCACTGCTGTCTGAAGATGCCCTCCTGTGTAGAAGCTAACATTCACTCAGCTTTGGCATGAAAGCCATATTAACTTTGGTCAGTTTCAGGGTTGATTTTTAAAATGTATTTTTTGTAAGTTGCAGCTTTTGGTTCTTGTTTTTGAACAGTACACACTTAAACTTGTCCACCTCAAACGCTTCAAAAAGCACTAAACAATAAGAGGTTTTACATGCTAAAGATGAACCTCTACCCAGAGCTGTTAGGGAAATATTTAAGACCAGGTTGTTGCACTGTTACGCTTTCGCGCATATGAACAATCTAGGCTTTTTTTCCTGATCATACCAGCCTTGTAATTGGTGTTTCTTCACCAACAACAACCCATCATCCTTTAGGGCTGGATTTTAGGCTTTTCAAAGATAACCCAATGGCCTTTTGGACCAGCACAGCCACCATCCAATTTGAAACCCCAGGTACCCTAAACATTGCAGTGTGTGTTAGAACCTCTCAGCTGTCACCCAGCTGACCCCGACTAGAACAAACAATAACCTGTTTGCACGGAGTGGACAAAGAAACCAAACTGAAGCTAACATGCTGCATGTTGAGTGTGTTTTAGTTCAGTCCTTCATATCTAATTTCGTAATCACATTACAAGATGTAAGCATCTTGTGTGCAAGCAAGCTTTAAAACTAATGTCATTGTCTGTGTCACGGGGAGCGTATGCTTTCATGGCGAAAAGCGTTTGTACCGCTAGGGTTATTTTCCCCAGAAAATAAAGCATTCCATACATTGTCAAATCTATTGTAGCGTTATTGTGTGTTGGAACATCAGAAAGCCAAATTTAACTTCATCTTTTGCAAAACTCTAAAATCTGGGTTCGGAGTTTTGCTGATGAGTCTTCCAACAGGACGAGGACCCCAACTAATCTCAGAAAGAGGTGGAAAACAGCACTTGACAGTTTTGAAGTCGCCAGCTGGACATACAGAACTGAATCCCCTTTAACACCTGTGCAGAGATCTCAAAACTGCTGCTGGGAGAGGACACCCTTTAAATATCAAATAGCTGGAGCAAAAGAAGTGGTCCAAGACAGTGTTTGTTTTCCAGAGGTGCAATGACCTTTTAAGTAGTTTCTTTGGCCCGTTATTATAGTTTTGCAAGAAATAGTATAAAATTAGCTTCTTCTTTTCATGCTTTTCTGGTGTTCCAATACAAAATAAATACATTTTTTTTAAAGGAAACTCTTTGCTTTCTGTGAGGGAAAAAAAATAGAGGTGCCATCACTTTTAGCCATGACTGTATACATATGAACAGTTGGACGATTTTTTGTTATTGATTTACTTTAAACCCAAATAATTGAGGCTGCTCATATATCCTATGCATGCAATCTTCCTCAAACGAGCCAAGATTAAGCTAAATATCCCTTTACTGTTATGTTTTATAAATATTACTGTTATTTGGCATGACTCAAAGTAGAAATTTGAACCGCAGCAGGAGGCACATCAGTAAAACTGAAATGTTTCCTGAAAGGTGATCTGAGAGCAGAGGATGTTCCCTGAGAGAGACATGCGCTGTGCCAGCGTCACAGCGCCATTTTTAGTGCTGGATGTATAGCAACAGCATGAAATGTAATTTGCTGCCTGGTGAGACATTTGCAGATGTTGTGTACCTCAGCAGAGGCTAATTAGGGAGACGGCTTTGAATGGTTTAATGTAGTTCTACCATATCTCCAGTTTTAAGTGGTAGACTTCAACACGGCATTAGAACTGTCGTTTCTCACCACAGTAAATCACATGCATGCTTTTCATTGTTGTGCATGTGATTTTATGTTACTGTGTGGATGTATCTAACCCTGGCACTTAAAACGGCGATAAATATGTTTGTTTTGTCATTGTCAAAGCTGTTTTCTTAATGTCTACCTATCTGGTATGTGCATAACAGGCTCTCCTCAGGCTGCAGCTTCCAGCTCAGGGTCCGGTGACGACTCTGATGTGGAGATCGTGTTTGTCAGAGAGCCCACTGCTGAACAGGCCGCCTTAGCCAGGAAACTCATGCTGCCTCTCACCTTCTTCTGCTACAAGAATGAGCCAGGCTACACCAGTGACGATGAACCTGATGGTGAGGCAGAGTTGATATACTAGAAAGTAATAAGGAATGCTGGGTAAAATGCATCAAAAATGCTCCAAGTATGCGATCAAACATAATTTCTGTATTAGTTCGGTTACTTCTAATATTCAAACGATATTATCAGGGTAGAAGAAGCAAACAGTGAATCTGTATTAGTTAGAAACACAAATACTGAGTAAGATTTTATTCACTAAAATAATTAAACATAGTTGGGTTTTACTAAATTTATTTTTTGTTTTTAGACGAGGATTTCGAGTCGGCTGTTAGAGCCCTGAATGGAAAGCTTTACCCCGACCCTCCTGAAGCTGCAGCAGCGGCTTGTTCTGAGGGTAAATCGCCAACATCATCACATTAATTAAAGTAGTTTTTTTTCAGTACAGCTGTGGTTTAAACCTCTGTGTGCTGCTTTCAGAGTCAGACTGTCAGTTTGTTTGGGAAAAGAAACCAACCCCAGAGGAAGAGGTGAAGGCAAAGAGCCTCCAGCTTCCACCCACCTTCTTCTGTGGCCTGAGCACCACGGACAGCGACCCAGACGCCGATGAGCCTGAAGACTTCGAGACAGAAATTCGTAAAGCCCACCGAGACCTGGTAATGACCCACAAGGCTCAGAATCTGTTCCAGATTTCACAGCAGATTCTGCATTGATATTTATTTCATTACACGTCCATAAACGTCACTAAATGGTGAGAAAGTTTTTTTAGGTTTAAAACATTCACAATATTTTCTAGTTTTGTTTGGCAACTAAATCTGATGTAATGATTTACATGAAGATTGTCAATTTTTACATTATTTACAATCACAGACTTCCCTGGATTTCCTTTGGAATCTACATGGTAGAGTGCTACAAAATGGTGCATAATTTTGATCTGAAAAGGTGTTGAATGCATTTCAAATGCTTTTGTGATCCAAAGAAGAATTTGCATTAGTATATAAAGTCCCCTTTACTTTACGGAAAAAACTAAATCAGGGTTGGGACTTCAGTGTGTTATTTAACACTTTAAACATTTAAAGAATTAACCTATTTCATTGAATTTTCTAATATAGATACTGTATTCCCAAGCGAGAACCTTGTATTCGCTGTTTCTTGTACACCCTTAAATCTGATGCACAAGCAGCATCACAGTTGGCCATTTCTCAATTCACTAGAACGTGAGTACGTATTCGTTTCCTCGCCAAGTATGTTGTTGAGAAGAACACAAAAAAGTATGGACTTGGTGAGAACATGAGCACGCAGCATACATATGGGTCAATTGAAGCAGACTCATGACGTCACCACACGCCCGACTCGTCTGAAGCTGTATTTCTCCTGTTATTATTAGTCTCTAGATAATAACATCTTACTTTTTTCATTTAGTGGGGGAATAATAATTAAGACAGTCAGATAAACACAAATCAAATGAACATTTTGCCAAATAAAACAAAAGTCAATATCATAGCCAGCGGTCCTTCACTCACGGCTATTCAGAGAGGGCTGCTGCAGACGGGCAGACAGTTTAGACCTGGCTACTGTTTTTTTTTTTTTTATTGCGTATTAAATCATTAAATGGGCCATATAGTGTCACTTATAATGTTCTCACCTCAAATGATCTTTAAACATACTTTTAATGAACAACAGAAAAGGGAACTTTTAACTTAATCCTCTTGAGCTCTGTGAGCGCTACATTGACAGCTGCTGCTGCTGCAGTGCATGCTGGGGCAGCTGTCAATTTACTTTACTCAGTAAAGAGGGAGGGGCGAGAACAACATCCGGGGACTTTGTCCATTCTCTGTCTGCTGTTCTTGTGAATTGGAACAGTACTAGGGCTGAGGCTGATGACGTTTCACAAGTACACGAGCACATGAGAATGCACAAGTACACATATTGAGAAACGGCCATTGTTCCATTTGGGATATTTAAGCTTAAAAGCATCATGGATCAAACTGCATAAGAGTTATGCTGCGAGGTGTTATTACGGAATCCTGAAATCTGTATGGACATCTAAGCTATGGCGCAGCTGCCTCCGCGGTCACCATGATAATCGCTATATATCTAAATAGTGGTGGCAGTAAGGAAGGCGCTATGTGTGCGTGTATATATATATTCTTTTATATAAATTTGATGAGTAGAAATACTTTTGGAAAGTTGAGACCCATTTTAAGTCTCACAGCCACAAAAATATTTTTGTCCTGTGATGGAAGGTCGAAATGCATTAAGAATATCATAAAATAAATTAAACTAACATTTCTTTCAGGCTGCCCAGTTAAGCAGAGCTGAGCCTGCCTCAAGTGGTCCTGCAGAATCCTCACAGACCTCTACCTCCATCCCATCGCCCAGCTATGCAGAAGCTGCAGAGGCCAAACCCTCTGCAAAAGAGCAACCAGCAGAAAAGCTCAGTGAGACTCTGAGTGAAACCCCCAGTAGCAGCAGCAGCGCTCCTATTGACCTTTCTACAAAGAAGAGTCCAGAACCAGAGTCTAAAACCGAGACGGGACCTATAGCAACACCTGCCACTACAGCCGCTCAAGGTGCAGACTTTTTTTTCTGGATACAAACTAGTGTTCACTGTCAGTGCTACTGATTAAGGGAATAAAAGTGTAAGCTTGTTGTTTAATATTAGTGTTTTACAGTGTTTAATATTAGAAATGTGCTTCTTTGATCACAGACTCTTCTGCCTTTGGCTTCAACTCGCTCGGTGGTGGATTTTCTTTTGCTGACCTTGCCAAAAATACAGAAGGATTTGCATTTGGATCTCAAGGTTTGCTCAAACAAAACCTCTTCTTATTTTCACTTTTCTTTATACGTGTTCTCAAAAAAATCGATCATGTTTCCTACTCCACCCTAATCTAGATGCCAATTTCTCCTGGGCAAATGCTGGAGCGACTGTATTTGGGGCTACAGTGTCCTCTGAGGTTAAAAATGCTGACGGTGAGGAGGGAAGTGATGAAGAGGAGGCTTCCAACAACGCGGACATCCACTTTGAGCCAATCGTTTCCCTACCTGAGGTGCTTCAAATGATCTAGAATGTTTTTACGGTTAAAATATTTAAACACGCTGATCTTGTTTTTTTTTTTTTTTTCGGTTCTCAGGTGGAAACAAAGTCTGGAGAGGAGGACGAGGAAATCCTGTTCAAAGAGCGAGCCAAGTTGTACCGATGGGACCGTGACCTTGGGCAGTGGAAGGAGCGCGGCATCGGCGACCTGAAGATCCTCTTCCACCCGACCAAACACTTCTATCGTATCCTCATGCGAAGAGAGCAAGTGCTGAGGGTTTGTGCCAATCACACCATCTTGCAGTCGATGGAGCTCAAACCCATGAACACATCAGCCAACGCGCTTGTCTGGACCGCCACTGACTACTCAGGTACTGACACTAGTTATACAGCAAGATCTTACGTTTTGTTACGGGAGTATAAGGTTTATTTTCACACCAGTTTCCTAAAAGGAAACCTTGCTCAGATATTCTTTTATAGTTTTGCTGAATAAAAAAAGCCTGTATGGGGTTGTCAGCTAGCATTATAATTAGAAAATGTAAGAGATGGATTAACATCTTTGCCAAGTTCAGATCTGGGTTGAGGAATTTTCACAGGAGCGTTGGTTATGAAGTTGGAAGATCCTAAAATATGACTGGAAAAGCTTTTTTTTTTTTTTTTTTTTTAGCACAATTGACCAAAAGATCAACCCGTCATACTATCACGCTTTAAAATTCAAAACCATATGTTCTCTGCAGGCTTGTAGGCCTTTATGCACTGGGTATTCCTTGCTCACCATTGGCGTCAATCAGTATCCATCCACAACCCATCTCAGATGCTTTCATTGGCTGCGTTTTCATTACAAGTGTGAGCAAAACTGTCAATATTCTGTCAATTCTGAGAATGCACATGATCACAATTGCTGTATTTCCTTTAATTAAGAAATGCAACTAAAATTGCATGCGAATATGTTTGGTCACATAACTCTGGCAGTGGCAGATATAAACGCATAAAAATGTTTCCCCCATGGCTCTACTGCTCATCAAGAACTAAATAGAAAAAATTATCTCTTTATAAATCCAAATAGGCTGCACCATCATCCTCCAGCCAGCTTTAGTCTTTTTTTTATTTTTACGAAGCAGGAAGGTCTGGGTGCAGAAAACGTGTCTCCATTTAGCAGATATATTTTTGTGATTACAAACTCATGGGAATGCAGCTACTATCTTCTAGACTAAAATTCTGCTCTATTTTTATTTTTTTTCCCAGACGGTGAAGGTGTGGTGGAGCAGCTGGCAGCCAAGTTCAAAACAGCCGAGATAGCAGAGTCTTTTAAGAAGACCTTCTGTGAATGTCAGAACCGCCTCGAGCAAACCGGTGACGACGCTTCATCCTCCTCAGTGCCACACATGTCCAGAGTCCAGGAGCACTCCAAAGACACTAACCCGCTGGTGTTCCTCAAAGTGGCCGCTGATGATGAACCACTGGGCAACATCACCATTGAGCTGTTCTCACATATTGTTCCCAAGACTGCAGAGAACTTCAGGGCTCTGTGCACTGGAGAGAAAGGTTTCGGACTGAAAAACTCCATCTTCCATAGGATCATACCAGACTTCATGTGTCAGGTGAGAGAACAGAATACAAAGTGTATATAAAAAGCGTGGAGAACACGTCCCATGGTGTCATTCTAAATTAGTATGATCTGCAGTTTACTTACTGGGGACTTCTAAAGATCACCCATAGTTCCCTTTGCTTCTTGCATTTAGGTAGAATTGTTCTGAATCTTTATGTAGGAAGTGTATATTTATCAAATGACCAATATGCTGCTTTCTGCTTTTAGGGAGGGGACATCACCAAGAGTGATGGCACTGGTGGCAAATCCATCTATGGTGCCGCTTTTGAGGACGAAAACTTCGACGTTCGGCACACTGGACCCGGCATCCTGTCCATGGCAAACCGCGGACGGGACACCAACAACTCGCAGTTCTTCATAACGCTGAAGAAAGCAGAACATTTGGACTTCAAACACGTAGCGTTTGGTTTTGTTCGGGACGGGATGAATGTGGTACAGCAGATGGGACAGTTGGGCTCCAAGGGAGGACCTCCCACTAAGAAGTTGGTTATCACAGAGTGCGGCCAGCTGTAGCTGCTCCCAATGGAAGACTCTGATTTGCAGCTTTGGTGATGTTCAAAGGAAGTTGGCACACCCCTGGAAAAACACACTTTCTGGATCATAAGACTGTAATTCCAAGTAAAATCTACTAGATTTTTGAAATTGGGAAATTTCTCTACCAAGGAGTCATAGATTGTTGGGAGTAACCTTTTGGAGTGAATTTGGATTGTCACTGCTGTTTGCATTTCACAGATGTTTATTTTTTGTGTGTAATATTGTAAATGTTATTCTTCTATTTTTTTGTTATTTGTCTGTTGTACCATGTTTTAATTTTTTTTTTTTTTACTTGAGTTTACTTTACAGTCCCCCACTGCTCCTAAATGTACCATTTTCTATAGGACACCCTGTTTATTGTTCTTGGTGTAAGTTAACTTCACAATGCAAGTAATTGGTTTCAAAAATGTTTCCCCTTTAAGCAAATGGTATCCAATAGTTTTATTTTCCAGGGAGATTGAGCATCTGTATAGATGCTGAATTGAGATGACCAATAAAAGTTGCTTGTTGTAATGAAGTAATTTGCTGATAACTGAAATAAATTTGCTTTACAAAGAATGTGTGGGTCTTGCATGGCATTTATAAATGGTATTGATAAATTCATCTTGTCATGGCAAGCTGATCATTCAAAAGCATGTCTATTTAACGTTAGCCTTTAATTTGTCCATTAGTTGCCCTGGGGATTCCTTTAAGAGTAACAAACATCATGTGGCTACCTCATGAAACTTGTTTAGACGACACAATCGAAAAGGAGAGGTAGTGCATTCTCAATCTAAAAATATACAATGGTTGATGGATCTAGAAAATAACTAAAATCCAATAAATGACAAAGGTGTCCAAGCTTTCAGCTGATAAATTGACCAAACACATGGGAACAATCAGTTGTGAAATGGAACAGAGGACATGGTTATACAAAGTAACAAATAAAACAAGCTTTTCTGTCCTGCTTCCATTCATCTAGTGCCCCTAAATGAAATCCAGTCTAACCAATAGCCTGCAGATAATAATTAGTGAGTTTGTGTCCAATCTATTTAGAGTAGGCATCCCCAAAGTCAGCCCTCGAGGGCTGCTGTCCTGCAGGTTTTATTGGTTTTGTTTCTTTAGCTCAGCTGATACTGATGATTGCAGCTCAGTGAAATCCTGTTAATCAGCAATCAATGAAAATCAGCTGTGCAGAACCAGGGAAACTTTTAAAACCTGCAGGACAGTGGCCCTCGAGGACTGACTTTGTGGATGCCTCGTTTGGAGCATGAATTTACAGCTCATATTTGAGGCCATTTAATCTTTGTTAGAAACCATTACCTAACCCACTGCATTAGTGATAGGGATCTCTGATGCAGTGGGTTAGGTAATAGAGGTGGGGGGCATTATTTTCTCTTAAGCAGGGACAGTAAAGCTGGTCTGAGTTTGGAGCTGGACATGTCTAACTACATTCTGATCATAAAACTAAAATGTTAGAGGCAGGAAAGGGCCACCCCAAGTCCAAGTAATAAATAATGAATAAATGATGTTTACAGAAACTCACCATGATTGCACTTATAAAAGGCAATATTTCAGTCTTTAAATGTGCAAAGGTTTGGAGACATGTAAAGATTTGCAGCTCAAATTTCAGTAAAATATGATGCAAAATAGTGCCTGGTGATAAAATACTTTTTAGTAAAAAAATCTCAATAGTAAAACTTTTCTTTCCAATTCCTATTTTTTTCACCTTATTAAATTCTAACATGATCCAAAAAGTATGCAGGATTTGAAGGGGTATGGATTATTTTGAAAAATAAACTTTAATTGCTTAAATTCCAACTTCAGAGCTTCTGTCTTGAAAAAGGGGAAATTGCAATTTAAAATTTTAACTCTGACTGTTAAAGAAAATAATTTTGACTTCACTTTCCTATTTTTATCTGTTTTGATGCCATTAAAAAAACAAAACAATTTGGAACAGTTTAGATCTCAAGTGCTAGAACATTCGCAGGAATGAACACCGTTGCAGTACTATTGTTGGCCACCGCTCCGGAGTGGCAGTAGAGCAAGTGGCCGGAGTTGAGTCATGGTGACGTCGGCAGGATGTAAGTGCTGCGGCTCGCGGCCTGATCGTTCTTTTTACTCTGCCGTGCTGTAGAAGCGGTCGGCCTTCTCTCTTTCTCTGAACCTTTTAACATCCCAACAGCAAAAATGATCATCTACAATGACATAATCACCGGTAAGTGGTCGCCAATGAAGCGTTTTCTAAGTATTTAGGTCAGGTTGCGGTTGGTGAAGTTTTATTCAGTTCCCTTTAGATTGTGTAGTTAGCTAAGCTAGCCGGCTAACTCGTGTGTATCGTGATTGAGAAGTTAGCGCAAAAAAGGAAGGAGGGAAAAAAAATCACCGGCTATTTAAAGGGTTACTCCCTGTATTGTTCAGTTGGTTCAGATAGGTGATTTAACTACACCCATGGTTATTTCTCAAAGTTACAAGTTTGTTAGTTTTTGTAACAATGCGTCGGAAACTGTTAGCTGGACAACTTTAAACTAAACGGTTAAATTAGACGTGATCGTGGGTGCAAGTTTCAGTGAATGTGGCCTTTCAGGCTCATGTAGCTGCCTGTCTTAGCCACCAGCAGGATGGATGACTCTTAAACACAGTATGAAACCAGACGGGCTGTGTTTCAATGCTGATGGATGACGCACCCAATTGGTCTTTGCTTTGTGTTAAATGCCTCCTTTCCCAACAGGTGATGAGATGTTCTCGGACATCTACAAAATCAAAGAATCTGAAAACGGAATCTTCTACGAAGTTGAAGGAAAGGTGAGTTAAAAAAAACAAACTAAATATATATATTTATATTTGACTATAGACCTTTAAGTTTGTTGTTTTAAAGCAGAGAAGCAACGTGCAGGGCGGAGGGTTTGTCTGCTCATAGGACTCCACCCTATAGGTTAAAGATATGTTTTGTGTAAAAAAATAATAAATAAGAATTACCAGGACAAGAGTCTTCAAGGTTTTCCAGGCCAATGATATAAAAAAGTCTAACCAACCAAAACTTTAGCAACCCCCATGCAGTACCTCTGTGGACCCCTAGGGTTTGTGTACCCCCTTTTGGAGACCTCTGCCATAGGGCATTGGATCCCAAAGTTTGGGTCCTTGATCAACCAGAATGAGGTCTTGATACCACCATAGAAGTTAACAAGGACAAACATTAATGTTAAAGTGATTACCCATATATAAGCAACTGTTTTGTGGCTTTTTTTTTTTTTTTTTGTAATTACATCTTTCACTAATTTATTTTTGTGGGAGGGGTTGAATACAAGCATCTGGTTTGATCCCCACAGCCTCCACTCTGGGTTCCTGAGCAAGACCATTAACCCCTGATTGCTCCCCAGATGGTGAACAATGGCAGCCCACTGCTCTCCAAAGGGATGGGTTAAAATGCGAAGAACAAATTTCCTCATTGTCGGACAATAAAGGGATTTGCATTTAAAACTTGATTGCAATGGATTATCGCCCTGTCGTACCCTATCTTTAGCTTTGATCACAAGATCAAAGATTTCCTATCCTTCATAAACAATCTTTGAGTAAGATTAACGCCATACTATATAGAAATAAAACATTTGTAGAAGCTAATTGAGATCTTGGGCCTAGATCATGAAGATTGTAGAGTCTGAGCAATGCAAAGACTTCTCCAGCTCATCCCAAAGAGTCTCAGTGGGGTAAAGGTTGATGCCATTGTTGGCATAACAATCAATATGGGACGCAGTACCAACTGGACCCTAAACATTGACCCTCTGTTTCTGTGCTCCCGTGGGGTGTCCGTCACGCTAAAGGGCCCTCTCAAACCATAGTGGTAGGGTGAGTGGACAATTGAGCTCTTGAAGTCATATCCTGGCTTAAACATGTATATAAATGTATTCTTTTTTTCCAACTATATTGTGCCAAAATTTAGAAAATTTCTATTTAAGACAAAATCTTAAAAGTCTTAAAATCGGTTTTCATTCATCTTATGCGGGCCAGTTAATTATAAGTCAGCTTGTACATCTAAATTCAGCCAATCGTATATCAATAGCCATCTGTCAATAAATTTTTTTCAGTCATAGCATCTTGAGTCATATGTCGCAGCTGATGTATGCAACGGTTGGAATAAGAAATAGGAATCAATTCCTTTCCCATTGAGTTCCGCCCCAGTGTTCACATGGATGGATGTCAGTAGCTACGTTTACATGGACACAACTAATCGGATTGAAGGCCTGATCAGATCAAAAATGTTTAATGTAAACATGTCAGACTGAAGATTCTAATCCGATTCGGTCCGATCGGATCTAAATTTAATTCCGAATGAGAGACGTGGTTTTTGCCGATCGCCATTCCGATTGGCGTCCATGTAAACACCCATTCGGATCTTAAGAGTAAAATAATCTTCACTGCGCATGTGTGCGACGTCAGCGTGACGTTTTTCTGCCTTGTCAACAACAGGAAACCACCGGTCGCTCTCGCTTTGAACAACATGGCGGGAGGAGTCTAGGAACGCCGACTTCTACACTCAAGTTCATTTAAAGCTGCAGGAAGCAGGAATTTATCCTCTTCCTCTTTTCTCTCTCCACAGCCCACTCGCTCTCCCACGCCGGTTCAATCGCTCATTCTCTACATTTTCTCTCGTACATTTCGATGCCAAGCGCTTTTTTCCTCCTCTCTCCTTTTTTCTTTCCGCTCGCTCCGAGCGCATCGTTTGTCAGGCCTCTCAAAAACCAGACGCAGACAGAACTGCCAAGTTTGGCAGGAAGTTCTGCGCATGCTTAAAAGATTTAATCTGATCCAACGCTTGGTACATGTATACACACGTCATGATCGGATCATTTCATTTAGTGTCCATGTAAACGGAGATTTTGAATTTCAGATCAACCAAGGTTTGGATCGGATCGGGGAAATTTTGTGCATGTAAACGTAGCTTGTGTCTTCGGCAGGCGTGGAGCTAACAGAACTGGCAGCGTTGTGAGGCAAGGGCTCAAACATGCACGGCTGTAAGCCTTCACCAACCCGCTGTCCATAGCGTTCCTTAACAGTGTTGTTTCTAAGTCACGATTTAGTGCTACTTGGTCCCAATGGAATTTCCCATTGGGAACCTACTGCTAACTGGTTAGCAAGAGGCTTCAAACAAACTGGCCACAACCAAACTTGCTTGCAAACCTCCGCCACAACAATCCAGCCTCCTTGATAATCAACCAATCAGATTAACTTTATTCACTCTTATAAAGAGTGAATAAAGTGCACCACTTGGGAGAATTTGGAAATGCAACATTTGGAACAGCTGCTTACCTACGTTTTTAAATGGTGAGTCTAATATCCTGGAGTTCTGCAGCTGGTGTAACAGCGAACTAGTAAGTTCTGCTTGTTTGCTGCATCTTTGTCACACTGACAGAAAACCACAAGTTAATAAGAATGGGAAAAAAATCCCTAAACTGAAGTTAGTTTTATTTGACCATATACATTTATTTTTTAGCAGGGGACAAATGTTTGTCGTTTCAACCTGCCCCAGCCATGCACATGTGATGGCACTGTGTTGCCATGGTAACATCTGCTTTCCTTTTCCAGTGAAGCAAAGAGTCTCTTTAGTACAGGAATCTCCACTTTTTGCATTGGAGGTTGATAAAGTTTTAATTGTGGAGGAAAAAATGGAATCCGACTGCAGGCCACCTCCTCAGCGTTGCTTTCTGAGAAAGGATGACCTCTGACCCTAGTTGGCCTTTCAGTTTTTGTTCGCTTCTGTCAGTGAGCCCCAAAGCAGCTGTGGCTACAATGTAGCTTGCCACCATCAGTGTGTGTGGATGGATGAATCACTGAATGTAGTGTAAAGCGCTTTGGTCAAGTCTCCTGACTTGAAAAAGCGCTATATAAGTACAGGCCATTTATCATTTTGTTCCTCGGGTTTAATGTCATTTTTTCTAACCTTGATTGGTTCCACCTTTTCCCAGACCGTGTCGAGGAAAGAGGGGTTCGATGACGCTTTGATCGGAGCCAACGCCTCAGCTGAGGAGGTGACCGAAGGCACAGAGGATTGTGTAATCTCTGGTGTGGATATTGTTCTCAACCACCATCTGCAGGAGACCAGCTTTGATAAGAAGAGCTACATGGCTTACATCAAGGATTACGTGAAGGCGTGAGTATCCCAGTGTTTCTCCTGTAATTCATCTAAATGTGAGCCCTGTATAGCTTTTAAAGTGCTGATTGCTGGAAGATGCCGTTTGCATGTCTAGGATCAAGGCCAAGCTGCAAGAGTCCAACCCTTCAAGAGTGGACCAGTTCATGGCTGATGTCCAACCAGAAGTTAAGAAGATCCTGGGAAACATTAAGAACTACCAGGTAGCAACAGATGAATTAAGAACAAACTTTTTATTGACATACTGTCTTGGTTATGCTTCACTGAGGCTTTTTATTTTTTTTTTTAAGTTTTACACAGGAGAGTCCATGAACCCAGAGGGCATGATTGGCCTGCTGGACTACCGTGAGGATGGAGTGACACCATTCATGCTTTTCTTCAAGGATGGCCTGGTGGCTGAGAAATGCGTAAGTTTTTAGTCCTAATGCTTCACTAACACGTCTCATTAACTGGACAGAAACTGACCCGCCTCCTTTTTTTCCTTTTCTACAGTAACTACCCGGATGTATATCTGCTGTTCAATTGACTGCTGATCCCCCAAAACGCAGACTTGAAGGAGCGTTCTTTTTTTGCATCGTGCCTGGATGGACATTTGGGCTGAAGCACCAGTTATCTACGGGGAATCTTCTGCCATTCTCACCAAATACAATTTTTAACTTTTTTTTTTTCTTTCTGCAGTATTCGGTTTTCTTTTCAGGACAGGGCTCATGTTAAAAAGGACAGAAAGAGAAGCTTGTGAGACTGACTGCAAAGCAGTTGTTTTAGCAGCAATCCATACGGTTGAACATCCACAGCCGTCATCGTGCTTGGGTTTATGGTTGTTAAACTAGTCCATCTTCAATGCAAAGACTTCAGGTTCAATTTGAAAATAAAGTACCTCTACTTTAAGTTTCTCTTCTGCTTGTTTTGTTTAATGGGGAAAAATAAACTTGGTTTACTGTAAACCTGCTTTGTGAAACAGACCCAAGTTTTCTAAACTTGAAAACTGAGTTTTCCTCAAATCAGTCTCCCACAATATGATAGATTGATCCACTACTGTTCAAGCAGTAAACTAGTTTTGCCCCTTTAATGTTATCATGGTTAAAAGAATATGGCAGGCTGTTTAGGTATTAGTCTGAAATGTGTTTCTCAACCAAAAAAAACATTCTGGATGTGGAGAGATCCCCATATTCCTATAGTTACTGGTTGTAATTTGTATTTGGATCAGAAAAAACTTAAAACTCAGTTTGCAAACTTGGGTTAGTTCAATTCCATGTAGGATTTCAGTCGGAATTTATTAAACCTCCTTTGTGAAACGGGCCTTATGATTTTTGTTAAGGTTTATTTAAAAAAAACAACTTCAGTTTCTGTCAACATTTTAATTCTCCATGATTTGATAAATGAAAAGAAAAACTTATCCTGGATCTTGGAGGCTGTCCAGAGGATAAGGAGCTGAAGGGTGTTCAAGCTGACCTGCCTCAATGCCACACTGCATTATATGTAGGGCCAGAAACTGAACTCTACATTGAAACCTTTGAGTAGTTTAAAAAAAAATCCTTTAAGCTGCTCAAACTGGGAAGATACATTTTAGACTAAGACTTGATCAAAATTGCTGAGCTTATGTATATTTAATGCATGATAGCAGGGGAAATCCAAGCTGATGGAAAAATATCTTCAGGTTTAAGTTCTTAAATCTGTAGTTATCCATATGGTAAATGGAGGTGAAAATGCAGGTCTGAGTTCATATATAATATATACATACAGCAGATCCTACAGCTACATCTTCTGCCAACCGAAGCTTTAAGTTTTGGAGTCAGAAATCCTAAAAATCTGCAAAGTAAAAGAATCTCAAAGCGAGTCACAAAGCTGCCTTATTACCATAAGCGTACATGAACCCAATGAGTGGAAATCAAATTTCCTAAAGATGTGATTGGATCAAGTAAGATGCTATTCTTTATATGTTCTAAAACCACTTTCTAACTCCACTGTGTTTTGGCCAACAATCACATGTTCAGTTTTCCTGTTTTGTTTTTTTTTGTGTAGCATTAACTTTTAAATCAAAGGCACACAATTAACTGCAACCATAGATCTCAAGACTGTAGAACCAACACTTGATCTGCAAAGCTTAGCTCTGAGTTGGGTAGTAACCAGTTACGTTAAATATTTTGAAAAGGAAAAGTTTAAAGCTATATTTTTGTGAAGTTTCACAACTTGTATTCAAGTAACATTTTTTGGCTGCTCTGATTAACCTTTTTTTTTTTTTTTTTTTTAAAGTCATATGCATTCACACTACATAACTACATAATTTCTAAACTTAAGTTTTTACCAAGTACTCTTTATATTTTTAATATTGAGTCATTTTTTTGGATGACTACAAGAATAAATAAATTTTAGGCAGTGCTACTTTAATTTGAGTACAATTTTTGGGCTCTAACCGCCTCACATGAATCTGATGGATAATTCTGTAGGGAACTGAAGATATGGGTGATTACATAAGGCATTCCAAATTGCAAACGATCCATGAACAAGGATCAGAGATAAGACATGTTTAAGTTGCTGAAACAACCGAGAAAATATTTAATAGTGATGGGTTAATGAGGCATCTTGAAGCGTTTGGACACATTGCCAAACTATTGATACTGTCTCAGAGAATACTGACACCTGCTGGACATTTAAAGACACTACAGGCAGTTCATTTGACACTAAACTGAATTGATTTGATGACCTAGTACACTGATATAATTTTAAGTTATTGTAGGTTATATTATATATCTATGTTTGAATTGAAAATATCTTTGATATTTTTAGATTCACTCAATAAATGTAAATATATATCATAATGTGGACATTTAGGGTAAAATGAATGATACTTGTGGACAAGGTTTTGAAATCATGTTTTTGAAACAATAAGTACAGTAACAACAGTAAGTAACTAAGTGTAAATTTGAAATTAACTTTACTTCAGATAAGTTGAGTGATAAGAGGAAAAGGATGACACGAGAAATATAAAGCAACAGCTGAAATGTTCCTATCCTTTTAGGCTGCTCTAAAATTCTTGATAATTTTAATGATAAACCCCAAAAAAGATGAGACATTTTTTTAACAGATGCATTATGTTAACAGAAACGTTTTAAAGCACAGTTTAGTGAGGCAGTCAGTTAGAAACATCTGTCACATTTCTTGAAACGACCGAAAGTGTTTTTGTCTATGGGCTCCACACATGCAATGAAACATCACTATTATTTTATGATGGGAAGGTCATGGATGTCGGCCATGGCACTTTTCCTTTTATTTAAATGTAAATAAATCGGAGAAAAAATTCTTAGCATTTAATAGCTAAGATTAAAAAATTTAACCTTTCAAAAAAAGTCTTTTTTTTACAGGACTAGATTCGTCTACATGAGGATTATCCAAATGGGTTGATCTCATCCTGATCAAATTTGTACTATTTGCAGCTGAAAAACCCCATTGATGAGGGGTTCAGATGTATCTGCTCCGCCTGACTAAATGCAAATATTTTTAAAGCTGTAATCAATGTCATAAAATGAGTTTCCAGCCATTCTGCTCCTTAATCTTTGACTGAAAATGCAGCATCTGCTTTATGGTAAGGGCTAAAACCTGGAAAAGAAGGAGATTTTAATCACCGGAGACATTTTAACATGTTGATCGAAGTAAAAATTACTAATAGCTGCACTGCTTCCTGATAACAGCTGGAACAGATTTTCTTTCCCATCAGCTCCAGCTGAGCCTCGTCTGCGGTGTGAAACACCTGCCTGACTCAACCTGGCGGCTGCATGAGATTCAACAAGTTCAAGAGACACAGATGGTCGTCGCATTGCTGTTCTCTAACAGGTTTAATCCAGAATACAAATAATATTCACAACAAAGCAGCAAAAGAAATATTACATCAATCCAAATAGTAAATTAATCATGTTAAACATTAGACATGATTTTAACAGATAAGAAAAAACACAAATAACTCAAAGTCTCGACCCGTATAATTGAATGAATCCTCTAAATGAACAGGCATGCTGATGAAGCTAGGGGCTCTTCTCCTCTTCCTCGCCCGGCTGGTAGTGTCGGTACTCTGGCTTCAGCTCCCAGGTGCTTTTATGCGCTCCTTTGCGATTGCATGTACCGATTTCCCTCATGATTTCTTTCAGGTAGGTCTGCATGGGACAGAGGAAAACACTTAATGCTGCCATCTTTAATGGAGCCACAGACCAATATATTAACCTCGTTATAAAAAGGACTTGACATTAATCCATCTTTGTCAGTTTTTGCTCATTAACAGATCAAAGAAATTTCTCTCCAATTAAATTAGAACAAATATTTTTGCTTCAGGTTTACTTTTCAAACCTGACTGATAAAGTAATCTTTATCCTTTGGATTGCATTTAATTGGCCTCCAATTAAATGCAATATCAAATGACAGTAGGGTGACAAAAAGTTAGTTTGAAGGCGTTGGGTCTCTGCTGAATCATGGCCCATGACTTTATTTACAGGAGGAAAACATGGACTATGGTTAAAATGCAACGGTCGTCTATCCAAAAGGTATTGAAAGGAACCAAGAAAATTTTTCTAAAACATATCTTAAAAACATGTAGATGATCTACAAGGCTGTCTGGGAGAATATCGTGAGCTCTGATAAGGCAAACCAATTCTGAGAGTGAAACATAGTGGAGTTGATGCTCTGGTATATCATTACATATTACATAGTAATAACATATTTAAAACAAACATTTTTAAAGCTTGTTATTAGATACAAAAAATATAGAACAAAAAAAAAAACTAATTTGCTTAAGTAAAAGGACCACTCTCTAATGGTACCCCCTGTTACTATTGATAGGGCGGAACTATTGAATAGTAATACTAGGGGCAGGGTAGCTCAAGTCATTCGTCCTGCAGACAGGAAGCTTGGGTTCGTATCCCAGCTGGGGGGAATGAGCTGCTAGTGTGGGTCCTTAGGCAAGACTCTTCATGCTAATGCCTGCTTTGGGGGAGTGATGGCTAGTGGTTAGGGCATTACGCTTGGAAACCTGAGGTTCTGAGTTCAAGCCCCACTCCCACAGGCTGCCACTCTGGGTTCCTGAGCAAAAGCGCTTAACTATCACACTGCTCCCCAGGCAAACAATGGCAGCCCACTGCAGAGAGTTCATTTTATTGCTCTGTACTTGTGACAACAAAACAATAAAACGCTGGAAAAAATTATACCTCAAACCTCTGTTTGGAAAATCAAATATAAATCCTGTCCATCAAGAGTGGAGTGCAGAGAAGAAGAAAGGAACGAGTCAGAGATAGGACGGGTTGAATGAAAAATCCAGCTCCACAATAACGTAATTTCCTTTTAAATGGCAGAAATCACATCTAATGCTGGATTTATCAACAGGCTTCTGTATTTTTGGTAATTCCTCTGCCTCCTATATAAGTCCTGTTATCATCACACCAGCAGCACATTATGTTGATTCCTAGTTCCACATTTTATTCCCTGTTGTTGCTTTTTATTTATTTACTTTGATTCCTTATTTTAATTCCTTTAAAATGTTTCTTCTGGCCATGCAAATGATTGCAACCGCCCTATAGTACCAGTATACATATACAGGCGTGCAGCAGGATGATCTATAAAAGCTCAGTTTTGACCTTAAATGTGTAATTTACACATTAAAACACACCAATGTGGCACAATTAGAGTCGATTTACAGTGATGCAAAAAACACTCATTACCAGAATTCTTTTTTGCATAAACATTAAAACTAGTTTCATCTGAAATATCCAAATGTGAGAACAAAGGCAAAAAAAAAAGATGTAAGAAGCAAATATCTTAAAGCAGCAAAAATGTGCGAATTATTCATAGAGCCACAGAGCATAACACAGAATAAAGAAAAGAAAATGTTTGAAAAAGATTGAAGAACTGGTCATCTGTCAAGTTTAAGCAAAAAATAAATAAAAGTTGTCCTCATATTCTCTAACCAATGTAGCAGTGATCCCTACTTATATGAAGGCTCTTTAAAATGAGGCTTTATGTCACGGTGAGATTTACCTGTAAAATGAAATCAGCGCTTTTTAAATTTATTTCCAAAATGAAACCTGTTGAATCAAGATCTGGGTAACAGCACTCAGACACATTAGGCCTTAATAAATTAAACATGTCAGCAGCTCAAAGGGACATTTATAATGCTGGCTCTGTTAAATTATAATATTCAAGAGTTTTTGCTTTGATCTTTGCAGCCTAACTCTAAAATCAGACTAATGTTAATCTGATTCTTCAGCAAAACACATCCAAAGTGTTTAGTAAATAAAAAGAACTAAACATTACATTATTCATAATTCAAATTATGAATTTAAGCACCTTACTATTGCCTCATTTAAATCCATCTCCTCCATTTCTGTGTGATATTTCAGACCATGTCTTAATGCAAGTGTCACTCAGGGCCAATTCACAGGTGATGAGTGACTGGAAGGGCTACCGATACTGACCTATGAACTGGAGGGGTCAGAGTTCACCTAAACGTCATACACATATATATTTTTTTTTCATTTCTAATGTCCTTTTAAAATCTCCTTAAATGCTTAAAGACTGTGTATCTTTGGATCTGTAACTGCTGGTTTTTACTTCTAAAAATCAGAAATAACAAAGATATTACAAATAAAGATATATACTGTACTGTATATACTTACCAGTCTAATAATAAAGTTGAGAAAAGAGAATCGGTTTTACATCTGGCTTCTTCTTTCGGCCTGCTCCAACGATCAAACTAATTTCCATGATTGACTCTTATTTTCCCTCAATCCCTTTCATGTTTTCTCTTTTTATCCTCCTCAGAAGGTTTAAACTTTTTCCTTTCCTCAGCCATGACCAAAAGTCGAGCAGTTGGAAAAACCGTAGAGCAAAAGCCTTAGCTCCATGACTATATAAGAGCCTGTGTCCGTAAAACGATACATTCTTCCAGGTCCCATGACCTGGCCAACGACGGTGCGTCTTCTCCCAACTTACATAGGTGGTATTTCTAGAGGGGATAGTGTCGGGCACTGTATATTGGCATGAAGAATCATTTAAAATAACTCATATGCATCAAATAAAAACATCTTTAAACTGTGGATGTTATACCCCAGAATGACCACAAGATGTCTCTGCCGAGCTGATAACCCTTCAGCCTCTCCACTCATGGTCAACAGTGATGTGCTTCAAAACTTCTCATAATGGACATTTTGGTTACTTTAGTTCAGTCAATTTGAGTGTTGGCCAAGTGCTTTGGGAGGGAAACGGTGGAGTGGAGTGTATCGGGGCGTTTGACTCCTACTCAGCTGATGGTTATGCAATCAGTGGCAATCAGAGGGAGAGGAGGACCTTGAGGTCTCATCTGCACCTACACGTTGCTGTTCACTGAGAGCTGGATCGAGTCCAGAGCGCTGTATCGATTTGTCCTGTGTGTGTCTACGTGTGCACACTCCGGTCCAAATTTCCGCCACAACACATTGTGTGATTAGGCACGGACGTCATGCTGTGGGCGACTGGTTCGGATTTAACAATGCAAGGTGGAAAGTGGGCAGGTGTGTGTGTCTTTTTTGTGGTCTCTTCAGTGATAATGTGAAGTGTAGTTTGAATGCTTTTATATGCGTGCTGCTCACCACAGGCTGTTTGGTGATGTCCACCAGGTCCTTGAAGCTGTAATACTGATGCTTCTCAAAGGCAGAGAACAGCATGTCCAGAACCACCTGTCGATCAGCCCTCACCATCTTCCCCTCTGACTTCTTCTTCTTCTCAAACTCCAGCTGAAAAACAAACAAAAAAAAAAATTACCTTTTTTCTTTAAACATTAATGTACGACAACATGTAATCCATAAACTTCAGTAATCTTTCAATGAGGTTTTATGTGGCAGACACTAGTAGTGACATAACTTCAATTATACTTAATTTTCAGATAATCTTCAATTTCATCATTTTAATTACACACTAGTAGTGTTTAATTGAAAAGTGGAAGTAATTCAGAAAAGTGCAGCACATCTTCCAAATTTAGAAAACTTTGAAATCCTCTTTTTCATTTGCATTAGTTTTACTAAAACTTGTCTAAATCTGCAAAACATGAACGAAGCTCCAAATCATCAGACTTGATCCACCATTATAAAATTTGCTTTCGTTGCATAATTGTAAACTTTAGGACAGAAAAAGATAACATTTCAGAACATTTTCTGGAAATAAAAGTGTTAGAAAAATGTATAAAATAATGCTTTAATAATAACCAAGAAAAAACATTTAACTTTAAAACCATAATTGTTATTGCAATAAAACTTACAGTACTAGCATTTATTTTATTACCTGCATTAAAAAAAACAAAAAAACTGCTCAGTTATGTCATTTCTACCTAACTTTAGACCCACAGGCTGTAAACTGAGAGCCAATCAGTTGGATCACTAATCAGAGACGCAGCAGAAAGGTCCAGAAGCTGCATGGATCTGCAGCAGAGGTTAGAAAACATGTAACCAGGTCAACTAATGCATCTTACACTAAGGCTGAGACTAACGATTATTTTGCAAATCGACTAATCTGTCGAATTATTTTTTGGGTTAATCAATTACTAATCGAATAACTGAAGGTTCCTTAAAGAACATGTTTCATAATTTTAGACCAGGTGAAATTAAATCTTTTTCACTTCTGGATAGAGCATATTGACAGACGAAAATATTTCTGTCATCTTAAATTAAAAATTTTTAAACAATTTTGTTATAATTCCTGCTCTAAGTGGATAGCTCTGTCAGCTAAAGGCATATTTTAGAGTCTCCATACTCCAGTTAATGATTAAGCGATTACTAAATTATTTGATTATTTCAATAATCAATTAATTACGATTAATCAGATTAATTATTTCAGCCCTAGTTGACACAAAACATGTAGCAAATATTAGAGAATATGCTCTGGCGAGTGTAAGTCAAAACCATTTGATCTACTGTAACATACAGTTCCAATGGTTTAACATGGTGCTGAAAGCATTATGCTGTGGGGTCAGAATAGGGAAAATCTAGATATATATGCAGACAATCTACATGCAATCGTAAAGAATTTGTGGTATTTTCTCCAAAAAATAAGTTTTTTCGTTAAAAACTTCATCAAATATTGGAAAAGCTGCTTCTACAAAAATGTATCGATTGAATCAGCAGAGTTGAAAACATATTCAGTCCAAAGACAAATTCAAAGTGTTTTGAATTAATTAAATAATTAAATATAAGGAAAATAAAAGCAGGTTAAATGGGAGTCAAGATAAAAGCAGGTAATGAAACAAATAAAACTAAACTAATAACACCTCAGTTGAACTTTAACAGTCAAAGACAGCTTTAAAAAAATGGTTTAACTTAGAATTAAAAGAACTCAGGCTTTCAGCTGTTTTAGTCTTCTGGGAGTTTGTTCCAGATAAGTGGATCACAGGAACTAAATCTAAACACTTCACACTTTCTCTTATGTATTTCTTATCAAGGCACTATATGTGGAGGATAAACTTATCTCATCTGAAAGTGGTTTGCTGCATGTTCTGAATTATCTGAAGTAGTTTTTTTTTCACTTTTTTCCCTCAACCTGAGGCAGATTAAAGTAGACTTAAGAGCATTTCTAAAAGCCACCGTCAGTGACGGCACTGAGAACACTTCACCCAAAAGGTCACGGCGTTCTGGTTTATGCAGCTCTAATGAATCACACCACAGAGCAAAACAAGGCAAAGCGTTCTATTTAAATATACTTAACATGCAGACGGTATGACATGCTCCCAGGGTCATTCTTTATGATCATAACCAGAGGGCTCTTCAGATGTTTTTTTTAAAGAAATATTATACCTAGATGTCAGAGAAACAATAAACCATGCTGCATTTATTGACTTCAAACCTCCACACTGAGCAGAAGGTCACAAGTTGAAAAAAATAATTATAAATCTGTAACTCTGCTTTTTCATTCATTTCATTCATTTACTATAAAGATTATGTGTAGCCTTTTTAACCCTCTGTCAAACAGACTGTTAAAGTTTTTCCTAAACCAATACAATATACCAAAAGAACTTAATCTAAAAAGCATTTTCTACTTCTTGTCCTGCTTAATCTACCAATGGAATAGTTTTATTTACATAGATTCAGAAAGATTTGCATTCTGACAAATAAAGCACCTTTTCTTTAATTCAGATGTAAAATATTAACACCATTTTATATAATTAATAGAATATTAGTAGATATAACTACTTTACTATTTGCACAGGTGCTAAAAATGAACTAGAAGCTGATCATAAAAAAATATTCTCCTTGTTGCAGTTCTTCAACATCAACTGATATATATTACCGTATTTTCACGACCATAAGGCGCACCGTACTAAAAGCGCAGTCTCAGTTATGTGTGACATTACTGTATTTAACACACACATAAGGCGCACCGGACTATAGGGCGCGGGTTTTATATACCGGTAAATATCCTCTACTACGTTTAAATACCTCTACTGTGTATTTAAAAATAGAGCGGGAGCAAAACTGAGTATGTTTGTGCTTTATTCATGTATTTATTACAAAGTATTAATCAGACCCATCAAAGTCCTCATCCTCTGTTTCTGAATTAAACAGCTGCGCTAAATCAGACATGCCAATTTCCCCTTCTTCGCTGTCAGAGTCACTTTCCGTGCCGTGCGGCTCCTCGGTAATGATGCCGGCTTTTGCGAAAGCTCGAACAACAGAGCCAGCAGACGCGTTAGTCCACTGTGGCGTAACTTGCCCGCTGCTGCCTTCCACTTTTCGTGAAACTGTGGTCTCCGTCTGTCATCCATCGCTCCCACGCCGCTCGCAGCCTTACTTTGAACAGCCGGTTCACACCGATGTCGTGCGGTTGAAGTTCCTTTGTCAGACCCCCGGGATAACGGCGAGCACAGCGTTCATTTGATTGACCTTGCTTTTCACATCGGCTGTGAGATGGGCACGCATGGAGTCACAGATTAACTGCGATGGTGATGCGTAGAAAAAACCACCTGGTCTCCTCACATACACCTCCCTCAGCCACGCTTTCATCATCTCCTCATCCATCCAGCCCTTTTCATTTGCCTTAATAACAACTCCAGCTGGAAAAGTCTCTTTAGGCAAAGTCTTTCTCTTAAAAATCACCATAGGCAGCAGTTTCTGTCCACGCCCACACTTCCCCCTTTAAAGTTCTCATGGAGGTCTCAACAACGTCGCAGTAACAACACATATAGGGCGCGCCGCACATTTTGAGGGGAAAAAAAGACGTTTATATGCGCCTTATAGTCGCGAAAATACAGTACTTTAACTGTGCACATATAGTCAACAACTGTTGTCTTATTGTCATTTAATAACTATTTGGTTGGAGGTTAGTCACTTGCCTCTTGAACAGTCATTGGCGTTTGGTGTATATGCACTTTAAAGGTATAGAGGACTATATTTTCCGGGTGGATCATCTAAATAAGTGGTCCTCCTCTGTAAATCATTCCGGTGATGTTTACGTAAGGCCATCCTAGGTGCTCGTCCGCAGTTGGCTATGTTTTCTTCGCATGCTCACTTTCAGGTGTATATCTGTGGTGAGTCATTGAAGCTCACCTTACTCACCGCAATTCTTTGAAAATGGCCGAGGGTCGTAAGAGAAAAAGTGTCGACGAAGTGTATGAGAAGAAAAGGTGTATTCATTTACACAAATTTTTTAATTGGTGTCTTGTGTGTCTGGTTATAAGACTCACAGCCATGATGTTTGAAAAAAGTAAGAGAGACATAAGAGACTGCTTTAAAATTCAAAGTTTAAGTTACATTTAAAGAACTGTGTAACACTCCTCAATGAGCAGTTGATCCACTTCAAAAATCCTCCACTGTATTTTAAAGCTTTCAAAAATCTTGTAAAGCATATTTGTTGTATTTAAAGTGCCGATAAATCAAATGTATTATTGTTTTATATTATCATCATCAGAAAAGGAAAAAAAATACATATAATTTTATATATTGCACCTCTTAATAATTTTAAAACTAGGAGTTTTTAATCTAAGTAGATTGTTTCACCCAAATTGTCCAATTCTTCAAGTCATGCATCCATACATTTTGTCAGGAGAGGGATAGCAGGGATGCAAGAGAAAGGGGAAAAAACAAACATAGAAGAACTGTGAGAAAACGCATTGAACTTATATATAACAGACTTCTGTCCCCCACACTTCTGAAATCTCTTCTGAAAATGGCATCCATGGCATCATATCGCCACCACACACTTCAGTTCTGAACCAAACTGGTGACACAAACGCACATTCAGCTGGTGCTATGGCTTACATTGAAGTCGTGGTTGGCCACAGGCTTGAAGATGGTAGTGACAGCTCTATCCAGCTGCTGCGCCAAACGTTGAGGCTTGGCGGACTCAATCTGCAGCCTGACAAACAGACACCGAAAAAAAGAGAGAAAGGAGCAAAATGAGAAAGGCTGTGTCTCTGTGGATTAACTGATGTCAGGACTGACAGATGTGCCTGGTGGCAGGAAGGGCAACTGTCAGCATCTTCAGGTTCAACTCATCAAATGTATCTTGGCAGCTTCTTGCCTTAGAGATCCACTGGTTTCTATGATTCTGGTAACATTTTCACCCATTGGGCTTTATGTAATCCCTGTAGGGTGATTTCCAGTGAAATGGCTGCAGATTGTTTATGTACACACTATTTGACAGGGCAAGAAAAAACAAACAAAAAACTGTGATATTTGTATTTGTTCGTAAATATAAAACACTAAAGAGAAACAAAAAAAAAGTGTAAAATACATAAATATGTCAACAGCATAGTTGTCAGAGCCGATGACCAAACAGCTGCAGGACGCCTTCTCCACGCTTCCATCCCTGAAGTCTTTCCCTTTAAATTGCAGCGCTCCTCACTGATCTGAAGGCTGACACTGATACCAACCACCCGTTTGCCTCGGGTCGTACTGTAGCCGTACATCTCCCACAGAGATGCTGTTGCTATAGCAATGCCATCCACTAACTGTGGCTGGAAAAACATATTTCAGTTAAAAGGACACAGAGCAGTTCAGAAAATACCCAGAGTGGATTGTAGAGTTGTGTTGTACACAAACTAACATAATTAATCCTTTTAACACATAGGTTCATGTCTTGTTTTGGTGACACTTGAGCATCAAAAGAAGCAGCTTTGGCTACACGACAGACCTGCTTTCTCACTGTGATTAATATACAGGTGCTGGTCATAAAATTAGAATATCATGAAAAAGTAGATTGATTTCAGTAATTCCATTTAAAAAGTGAAACTTGTATATTATATTCATACATTACATACAAACTCATATATTTCAGATGTTTATTTTGTTTAATTTTGATGATTACAAATGACAACAAATGAAAATCTCAAATTCATCATATCAGAAAATTAGAATATTGTTAAAAGGTTCAAAATTGATGGCCCCTGGTGCCACACTCTAATCAGCTAATTAACTCAAACCACCTGCAAAAGCCTTTAAATGGTCTTTCAGTCTAGTTCTATAGGCTACACAATCATGGGGAAGACTGCTGACTTGACAGTTGTCCAAAAGACGACCATCGACACCTTGCACAAGGAGGGCAAGACACAAAAGGTCATCGCTAAAGAGGCTGGCTGTTCACAGAGCTCAGTGTCCAAGCACATTAATAGAGAGGCGAAGGGAAGGAAAAGATGTGGTCGAAAAAAGTGTACAAGCAAGAGAGATAACCGCACCCTGGAGAGGATTGTGAAACAAAACCCCTTCAAAAATGTGGGGGAGATTCACAAAGAGTGGACTGCAGCTGGAGTGAGTGCTTCAAGAACCACCACACACAGACGTATGAAAGACATGGGTTTCTGCTGTCGCATTCCTTGTGTCAAGCCACTCTTGAACCACAGACAGCGTCAGAAGCGTCTTGCCTGGGCTAAAGAGAAACAGGACTGGACTGCTGGTGAGTGGTCCAAAGTCATGTTCTCTGATGAAAGTAAATTTTGCATTTCCTTTGGAAATCAAGGTCCCAGAGTCTGGAGGAAAAGAAGAGAGGCACTTCATCCACGTTGCTTGAAGTCCAGTGTAAAGTTTCCACAGTCAGTGATGGTTTGGGGTGCCATGTCATCTGCTGGTGTTGGTCCATTGTGTTTTCTGAGGTCCAGGGTCAACGCAGCCACATACCAGGAAGTTTTAGAGCACTTCATGCTTCCTGCAGCTGACCAACTTTTTGGAGATGCAGATTTCATTTTCCAACAGGACTTGGCACCTGCACACAGTGCCAAAGCTACCAGTACCTGGTTGAAGGACCATGGTATCCCTGTTCTTAATTGGCCAGCAAACTCTCCTGACCTTAACCCCATAGAAAATCTATGGGGTATTGTGAAGAAGAAGATGCAATACACCAGACCCAACAATTCAGAAGAGCTAAAAGCCACTATTAGAGCAACCTGGGCTATCATAACACCTGAGCAGTGCCACAGACTGATCGACTCCATGCCACGCCGCATTGCTGCAGTAATACAGGCCAAAGGAGGCCCAACTAAATACTGAGTGCTGTACATGCTCATACTTTTCATGTTCATACTTTTCAGTTGGCCAACATTTCTATAAATCCTTTGTTTTTATTGGTCTTCAGTAATATTCTAATTTTCTGATATGATGAATTTGAGATTTTCATTTGTTGTCATTTGTAATCATCAAAATTAAACAAAATAAACATCTGAAATATATGAGTTTGTATGTAATGTATGAATATAATATACAAGTTTCACTTTTTAAATGGAATTACTGAAATCAATCTACTTTTTCATGATATTCTAATTTTATGACCAGCACCTGTATGTTTGAAGATAAGCCACATGCCAGTTTGTAGAACTTTTTTCGCAAGAGTTATGGAAGTTTATTATATTCTTAGAAAAACACATCTTGTGATTTCATGCAACTCTGCACTGATATTATTTCTCTTATTGTACATCCAAACCATCTTCGGTGGTTCTTGGATTTAGGTCTTTGAACAGTTTTAGATTTTATTCTTTTTATATATTTCCGATATTTAATTTTTATGATTTCACCAATCAATACATTTTTTTGATTGATTCTTTTTTTTCCACAGAGCAAAAAATTGAGTTTAGAGCAAAATATTATTGAAAAACATTGATCGTTGCTCTTTCCATAAAACTGCTGAATTGCTCATTCTTTTAATGCAGAAATCGAATTTCATTTTAATCAAAAACTGTAAAATATTGCCCCCCTATCAACACATTTCTTTTCATGGCTGCATTTTTTTTGCACAGTGCATCTCTAAAGTGACCCCATTCAAATTTGATGACATAAAAAAGTAAACACTGATCTTATATCCTTTACATTCAAGTTTTCATTCTTGAATTTGAGGGGGAAAAATCCAAAGTAAAAGCTGCAATATCCTGGTTGCATAATGAAGGTACTGGTTCAGCATCAAACCTTTAATTTATACCTCTTGACCATCTGTTTGTAACATTTTCCTGAAACTGTTTCCTTTCTATGCATTGGCTGAAGTTTGCAGAGGTCCTACAAGCCTCTGGGCTTCACTCACCTTTTCACCTTCATGTAGCTGTCAGAGACGACCGGTCGACATTCAGCTCTGTGCACCACCATCCCCTCCAGACTGATTTCATCTACAACAGAAACTGTGACTCAGCTGCTTCATCATGATTCAGACACACAGATTGATTCTGTTTAAGAAAAAAAAACACACTTCTTTTTTTGGCTTACAAGAACGATAAGAAAAGAAGAAATACTAAAATTCTAAAAGATTTCTATGAAAAAAGAGGTTTAAATGGCATTTAATGCATGTATGGTGTCCCCTCTTACTACTACTCTCTCCAGTAGTTGAGCATCAACATTTTCTACAAAATTCTTCTAATAGCATTAGTCTGCTTGGCTTCAAAACATCTAAGCATGCTCTGATCAAAGATAATGTAGAGATACTTTCTTATTATTTTTTTCAAGCTTGTATTTTTTCTGCTTAATTCAAACATTATGCTATAGTGAAAAATTATCTGAGATTTCATAGAGTATCTAATTTAATCTAATCCAATCTAATGTAACTATGGTGAAATGTAAAACCTGCTAAATAGTAAGTTTGGCATCAGGCTTTTTTACTTTTCGCTTCAATTTCATAAGGTTTTAACTGTAAAGGCCCTTTTACTAGCTTCATCCATGAATCAGTTACGCTACCCATATTTATCTATATCTATATATATATCTATATATCTATATATCTATATATATATATATATATATATCTATATATCTATATATCTATATATATAGATATATATATATATCTATATCTATATATATCTATATATATATATAGATATATATCTATATTTCTATATATATATATATATATATATATATATATCTATATATATCTATATATATATATATATATATATATATATATATATATATATATATATATATATTTCTGAATATCTATCTATATATCTATAAATATCTATATATAGATATATCTATATATAGACATGTATATATTTAAACAGATTGAAATCTGTTTAAATATCAAATTTGAAATGACTTTATTCATCTAACAGGGATTTCTTCAATGTGCTGTAGATGCTGTTTGCATTACTTAGGAAGGACCTCCTGCAGTGGCAGAATTGGAGAAGCCTCTGATTAAAGACACTCTTGCTTAGGGTTGAAAGATGTTTTTTCATATGATAAAAAACAAACAAAATATATGAAAAAGCTGCCATCTAAACGAGAATTCACTGGCAAGGACAGTAAAGAAAAAAAAAAAAGAGAGCATTAGGATTTAAATCGCCACCAGATTATAGTTTGTCGGTAACAGCAGGCAGACCTTAAATTTTTATCATATTATCTTTACAAAGGATTTTTTCAAACTGCTGCCTATATGTGGTCCTTTGTCTGCTGATAATTTAAATGTCATTTCAATATTTCCTGATCAAAAACATTAAACAAACCCCAGAAAAACAACATTAAAAGCTCAATTTGGAGGTATAGTATTGGAACTAATTTTATGGAACACGATCTGAGGGCTGCATGACTTGTATCTAAATCTGAAAGATGTATTGTTAAAAAAAACTGTCTTCCAACAATAAAAAAAGCAGCATGCTTTATATTGTTTGACGCAGTAGTACCACAAACCATGGTTAGCTTGCTCCTCTGTGAATCAAGCTTTTTAATGTTTGACAGGAAATAACAGGTCTGAATGACATGACAAAACCTATCCATCAAGTTACTGTTTAGGTAAAGTGGACAAACAATAAATAAAATATGGAATATGTCTGGATACAGAGGAGTTTATAGCCATTTGCCAGCAAAACAGGCCGACATCCTGATCCCTCTGACACTGTGTTCCGTAAAAATTCAAAAAATATCCACTGGACTTGGTGAGTTGCTGTACACCCTCGGAGAGGGTGTACAGCAATGACTATAATATGAATAGATTACCCATAAATAACCTCCAAAGGAAATTTTAAAACTCAAACAGAGGATGGCTCAAACCAAAGACATTCCTTTAATTGAGTCATATTGGGGTTTCATTTTTTGCTTAGCAAGAGATTGAGTGAGTACACATGTTTGCACCATCAGGAACCAGTCGGTTCCTACTCTACATTTGGCGTTTGTGGCATCTCTATATTCTATATGCAGATCGATCCCATAATAAGATACCTGGCAAATGGCAAATACATATTTTTGCTAATATCCAAGTTTTGATAAACCTCAACAGCATGACATTCATGTCAGACATATGCTCCTCTCTACCAACAAACCCTTTATAGGAGCGATTCCAGCCACATTTTTAAGCATCTGATTAAACAATTCATGTTTAAAGGCCCGTCATGTGTTTTTGTGTTGTGCTGCTTCAGAAGCTTGCAACATGGGTGCCTTTTCTAAATGAAGACGCAGACTGTAAAAGTAAAAAAATCAGCAATGATCAGTGAGGCATTTATTCCTAATCTTTAAACCTTTTCACCATACTAGAAGATTAGTGATTTCTGGATAAAGCTTATCCCAAAATAAATAATTGACATACCAATAACTGGTCTGGAAACATCTCCAAATTTAGGTGATTCATCCTGGGTGCTCATGCATAAAGCTCTAATAAGATACAGCCATTTTTCACTTTTAAAACCAAAATTACCAATTCTGAAGTTGAATAACCTGTTTGACACCTTACCATTTATCCACTACAAAAGGATGAAGTCATTGTTTTTTCCCAGCTTGGACCATTAATGGTTCAAAACAGCCTGCTATAAAACCATCAAAAAACCCACATCCTGACATTTTCTGTCACTTCTGAATCACCTTGAAAAATTAAACATTTTCCACTCTGTGCTTCGGCCGATTATTCAACCGTTCAGCCCACAAACCTTATCCCAAACCCTCTGGTGTCTCTTCTGCTTCTCTCTGATATTCAGCTTTTCAGTTTTTTTTCATTTTCTTTTTCAATAAACTAGCCAGGAAACAGTGGAGTCCAGTTGGTGAGCGTCGGCGTTACTTTGGCAACAGTGTAGCCCATTGTGCATTGTTGGGGGATTTGGCACCCTATTTTATCCTTTATGTGGATAAATAAAGGGCACAGATTCCACATTCAGCATCTAATAAAATCAGAAGAGAAAGTGGTGAAAGGGGTGAAGGGGCATAAAGCGAGAGCGATCCTACAGACGGCGATAAGACAACAAAAAAGCTGACCGACTCAAATAACACCATGAAGTAGAGACACTGGGTGCTGAATTCATTTTAACAGTCTGAGAAACACTTCAGTTGTGAATTCATAAATCAAAGTCCATTTTGTCTTTGACCATAATGATATTTTCCTTCTTTCTGATGTTTTTTATGTGGGAGAACAGAGTGAAATCCAGTGAAAAGAAATCTCAGCATCTCTCGTCACCCCGGGCGACGTCAGCATCTGACGGCGGAGCCACAGCAGGATCACCTGTCATTCGGCTTCCGCTCCTCCGTAGCATCTTTTGTTGCCTGGACGATGTGCTGTATTGTCCACATAATAACAAGGCTGAGTATCGCAGCTGCTGAGGCACTTATTGCTTTACAGATGTCCGCCCACATGTCAAAACAATGTAAAAAAATATTTGTGGCAGCCCGCTGGCCCTGAGAAGCATCCGCACATACACTGCTGACCTGATTCATTCTGTATACAACTACTAAATTTATCCACTTCACTGCTCGAGGAATACTTCCATTAAGAAAAAGGTTTGGTCTTTACTTTAAAAACAATCATTGTTGCTAATATTATATATAAGAAAAATCTAAATATATGAAAACTATTGAGTAACCTTTTAAAGGTATGCTTCTAGAGGTTCGCTATCACTGATGATTGACCCTAAGAAAATTCATAAATTTTTTCCAATTAATAAATGCACCATATTTAAATGCTACCAGTTCTAAATAACAACAAATTATGTACTTATGCAGATGCTAATATGGAGTTAAGAAGACACAAAACTCCCACATACTGTGTATTGCAGAGTCTGCGTACTCCCATCACGGATGTTTTAGACTTCATAGTCGAGTGTACCATTTTCATAGATTTCTTGTGTTAGTATCTATGTTTTGCATGCTTTCTGACAGTTGCACTAAAATAAATGAATAGCAGCAGGTTTGATAAACTACTGGAGTGCCCAGTGCTGTTTCTTCTCCACTATGAACCCCCTGTACACCCGTCAGTACGACGCAGAGAGTGGATGTGACGCTGCGCAGCTTCGCTACAGCCTGCTTGGAACACACTGTTGCCAACTCTTCAGTGAGGATATTTGCTATTGGCTGGCCTAAAAGTCGGCAGATTTCATCACCACCTAATTTGCAAATTTGGTAAGGCTTTGATTAGGCCGTTTGAGAGGAATGTCGATATAGGCAAGACAAAAATTACTTTAAAAAAAACTGCAATTATGTTTAAAACTATAAACGAACTCCGTAAATTACTGTAACAATTCAAAAATATTTTCCTTACACTAAAACTACATTAATCAATGTTTTTATTTGATCAAATTTAACTTAAAGACAGCTGGCAGATGCAAACATGGTGGGTGACGTTGAGAATAAAGTAAATATAAAAGATCAATTATTATGCAAATTTCAAAGAAAAATGAATGGGGGAACCAGTGGAAACTGCAGGTTTGACTAATTTGCAGTGCAAAAACATTGGAATTGCTCTTCTCTCCCTGACATCAGGTACGGTTTTCTGCTGAGGCTTACTGCCTGTCAATGCTTTGAAGAAGTAGAGAGCTCACAGCAGCACTCGATGCTCGTTGAAGACATTAACTGAGCGATCTGTGCTTTCAAATTGTCACCATATTTTCAAAATAGCACTGAAAAAAGTTGCCAGATTTAGTTACTGTTTGCTTTTTTTAGAGAAAGTCAACAAAGCTGCTATAAAACAAGGTAGCTTGGTGTAAATAATGAGATGTGTTTTTGGTTTATTCAGGCTGTGAGACTGAGAAGACTTTAAGCAGATAACAGGAAGGCTGAATAAGCTAGAAAGACTTACATCTTATGATCTTTTTGCATTTTCAGTTTTATTTTTATTTTTATAATGAACAGGCTTGATCACGAGATGTTTACAGTCCATTGAGAATCTCAGAATCTAACTATGAAAATTGCAAAC